ATGCAGAGGACACCAAAAGGGAGATGGAAGAATAGACAGAGGCAACAATGCAGCTGATTTTACTGCTATAACTGCAGCTGGCTACACTGTATATACTATACATAGACAAATGATTCAGAAGTCAATGAATGAAAAACCACATTGGGACTTATGCACACAGAACATTAAAAAGCTGCAAGAAGCAGCTGCTCCATCACAAAAACAGGGCAAAGAGAGATTGGCAAAAGTCTGCGCAGACACCAAATTTAATTTTAGTCCTCATGAAGTCCTGACAGGAAGGACCATGCCCTGTCCTTTCACTATTGCCCCCACAGATTCCTCACCAGCATTAGTTACAACATGAGGCCTTGTGTGAATATGCACGAACACTGAATAACACTGTGATGAGCATCTCTCAACAGGTGACACCAAGGAACAGGACACTGCTCTCAATCCAATAGAACATCTTTGGAGGGAGCTTAAACTCTGCGTTGCTCAGCGACAGCCCCGAAACCTGACAGATCTAGAGGAGATCTGTGTGGAGGAGTGGGCCAAAATCCCTGTTGCAGTGTGTGCAAACCTGGTCAAGAACTACAGGAAACGTTTGACCTCTGTAATTGCAAACAAAGGTTTCTGTACCAAATATTAACACTGATTTTCTCAGGTGTTCAAATACTTATGTTCAGCAGTGCAAGACAAATAAATTCTTTAAAAATCATACAATGTGATTTCCTGAAATTTTTTTTTTTAATTCTGTCTCTCAGAGTGGGAATGCACCTACAATGTGAATGTCAGACCCCTCCATGATTTCTAAGTGGGAGAACTTGCAAAATCACAGGGTGTTCAAATACTTCTGTTCCTCACTGTACCCGTCATTGCCTAGGCAGCCGTGTTGTATTGCTCTCCGTCTATCTTTTCATCCCATACTCAAGTACAAACACACACCTTGGTATGACTCCAGAAAGTAGAAGAAGAAAGAGACAGAAATGTGCTGATTGGCTGCCTGTTTCAATACTAAGTAATTCAAGATAATCGTGCTTGACACCTAGTGATGTGTGAAACAATTGCGTGGGTGTGTGTATGAGGATGATCATCAGCAGCGGTGTCTCTGTGAGGGATGATGAAACTCACTGTTGTTATTTATAGCATCTGTCGTCCTCTCCCTCTCTTTCCTCACTCCCTCTGTGTCTCTCTCCCTCTTTTCCTCCCTCTCTCTCTGTTGCTAGGAGGCTGCTGAGACGGTCTCCTATGGAGGCCAAAAAGGTGAAACGACTAACAAAATGGTGGAATGGGGGAGATAAAGCGAGGCGTGCATATAGGATATGTTTCCCTTTAACTAAACAGTTTAACCCTTAGCATACAGGTTTTTATTTCTGTAGCTTGAAGTTGGTTAACACTGTTATTTCCCACGGTCTGACAATATCATACTGTGTGTCAGCTTGTCCCAGCTCATCATTGAAGGGTCAGGGGTAGACAGGCCTACTGACAGAGGATTCTTTGCGAAGATTGTACCATATTATGATGCTGTAGTATGTACTGTATTCACCTGAGTCTTCTTCAGCTTCTTCTATCTGCCAAACTCATAAGTCTAAAAATTGATATTTCTCTCATTAATATTAGTCAGGGTGTGTGTGTGTGTGTGTGTGTGTGTGTGTGTGTGTGTCAGATTTGTCTGCTAGCACGAGTTACTACAGCAGCCACAACTGAACAGAGCAGCCAGAGGATTTATAAAACAGCCATATCAGAATCACTATGACCACATATTGTACTTGTCTCCAAACACATTTAGCAGCTGATGTCCAGTTGCAGCTGTCTACTCTTCTGTTTCATACAGACTCCAAAACAAATCTGACAGAAGAACACAGGACAAGACTCACAACATCACAGCTTCTCTGCCGTTTGTGTTTGCGTTGATGTGAGATTGTGACCTGTGTGTCTGTCTCACTTTGTGCTTTTCTCTGTCTTTTCTTTTTTGACTGCACACATGCAAACTAAAGTGACATAACAATCATCATTTCAGTTTCTGGAAAGCAGATGCCAAAGTGGAGCCCGCCAGGTAAATGAGCCAGTAAGTAGTACACAGTTAAATGTGCCAAAGAACGGGATACCTGCTGATTGTCATACGTACTTTACTGGTATAGTTCCTTAATCCTTTAAGTATTTCAAAGGAACTTATTGTGTGTTGTTCACATTTTTTTTTAAATGAGTTTTGTCCTCTGACTTACACAGGTTATATCTCTTCTCTGTTGACTGTCACTCAATGGAAACAGAACCTGCACTACCAAACCACGCTGTGTGCTGTTCCTGCAGGGGTGTGGAGATGGGGATGGACTAGGGAAAGGGAAAAAACTGGCACCACCTGGGGTCTTGGTTGGGGTGGTGCTTTAAAAAAAACACTTGAGTAATACTTTGAAACACATCCAGTGAGATAAGTAGATATGATGTGTTCATAGCAGTCAGTTTAAAAAGGTTAGAGTAATATGGGGTGTCAGAAACAAGCTTTTCATTCTGTGTTCTTTTGCTTGTTCTCTGAGAGGATGTAACTCCCATTTGGCATCACCACACTTCTTAACGCTAAGTGGTGAGAGACAGACAGACAGACAGACAGACGGAGGGTGGTGAGGGTTAGCGTGACCATGAAGTCATGACTCAAATGACCGTTAGCGAAGCAGCCGACCGAATGAGCCAGTTTGTGTCTGGGTGTGCCCTTCTACAATGAGGTCTTTCTCTCTCGCCTCCGTGAAATTGTCTTTAGCCGTTTATGTAACGAAGCCAAAACAAGCTGTGAAATCATCACTGGACTTCCAGAAAGACACTCACTGCTCATCACATGCTTCAGCTGCTCAAGTCCTCATCACAGAGATGCCATTTAAAACATTTCTGTGTTTCCCTGTATCTTGGCAGTATGTGCTAGTATTTAGAAAAGTGAAAATGCTCTGTCAGATCATAACACATCAATGTTTTAGTGTGTAAATGCTGTAATGATATCTGGAGGTGTTTCTGTGCATGTTTTAATGTTTGTACTGTACACGAGTAAGATAGGACAAAAATACATTTCTGTGGTAACATCTCCAACAACAGGTCCTGCACAAAGCAAACACACAAACATCAGGTGGATAAAACACATGCCACCAGGATTCAGTGCTCACTCCTTTTGGTTTCCTCCCCATGTAATATCAAATGTTCTGTAACCAACCAACCCACACACACACAAACATGGTTGCTCACTGCAGACCTCGTCTTCAGGGTTTTTAAGGTCACGGTATGATTCTCTCCGTTCTGCAGCTACTGCACAGTCCTCCAGCAAACACCTGTACCATTAGAAGTAAGGGTTCTTTGCTTGTGTGCATGTGCGTGAGCTCGTCTACATCTGTGAGCTGGATTCCACAGCCATGTGACTAGTAGTCTTCATAACTGTTTCTGTGCATGTGATCATCTGATTGCATCCGGTCACAAGTGCACAAAGGCCTGAAACAGAAGCGGTGTGTGTATGTATGAATTTATGTACACATACAACCACGGCTGCATTCTTCAGTCATTGTGAGCTACTGTTTGTTTCCACAACCTTATTGACCTTCAGGAGCCATGTGCTCATGACTGTGAAAACACAGGACCTTGGGTTTTCTATAAGGTCACACTGTTTTTAACTAAGAAATGAAACAAAGTAGAGATAACTCTGCTCTTTCTTTTAAAGGGGTTTAGATGAACTAAGGCAAATAATGTCCACATTATTAAAAATGTACTCCCATCTTCTTGGAGAACCAGATTAAGTAAGATAACTTAATGCAAATTTCTTTGTTCTCTGTCTCCTTACCTCTTAGTTTGCTCGGGTGTGGATCCCTGATGCAGAGGAGGTGTGGAAGTCTGCTGAGCTCAGCAAGGACTACAAAAATGGCGATACTTCCCTGCAGCTGCTGCTGGAGGACAGAACGGTGAGGGTGAATGGAAGAACGGCGTGGGGAGGACTTGATCTGTCCTCTCAGCTCTTTTTGTTGTTTCCTCTGCTTTAGAGACACTTCAATATGCTGAGCCTCATTGGCAGCTTTTGGGGTTTACTCCACAAATGAGACCTGGTTGCAGAGGTGCACCTAGGAGCATTTTAAATGTTTAGCAGCAGAATTAATTCCTTGGCTTAGAATACAAATGGCACACATTCACAGCACTACAGTTGAATGCATGCTGCAGTAGCAGCAAAACCATTTGCCATATTGCCCTTAGTGATTTAATGCTACTGGGATCATGTGTAAATGTAAACAGTTGCCATCAAGGAGGTTTAGTTTTTTGGTTCTGTCTGTTTGACTGGCAGTTAGTTCAGTGTCTCCACATGTCCAACCTGGATGGAGGTTTAGGATTATTTTTTAAGGAGCTAAGGTTAGTTTTGTATAAAGATCAGGGTAAAATAAAGCCTATGGTTCCACAGAGGACAACACATTTTCCCTAAGCCCCCAAACACTGAACCTCAAAGCTGAAAACAATGGGCCTCATTCACCAATATCTTCCTCAGTTTTGTTTTTATATCCCTAAGGTCCTAAGAAAAGTTTGTCTGATTCATGAATGTGTTTGCGTCAAAAACGTTTTGAGCTTAAATCTGAGGTAAAAAGGTAAAAAAACAAACGGAAGAGAGACACCTGCCCAGTTACCTGAGCTGGGCCAGCGCATCAGGGCCATGCACGGCACTTTCAGGTGTACATTTAAGTGAGAGTACCTCCATGTGTGCACCCAGGCCCTGATCACAGATGTGATCTTGGACAACCAAACACTTACACAGACAGCTTCAACACTGGCCACAATATCTGAGACAGTTAAAGAAGTTAATAGAAATAATAAATCAAGATATTCACTTAAATGTGCTTGGTTTTTAAGTGATGTTTTTAAATACATCGCACTTTTAAAATCAGATTTCTTTTAAATCATTTATATATAAGTGAGCAATTCATTGCTTGTTGTAATAGTTAGTGTCCTGTTTATTAATTTTAAAAGACCATGATGCTTTTCAAAATAATGGAAATAATTACCAAAAAGGGTAATAAGGATAAAAATGCTATTGTAATTTGAATCATATAATGCTTCTGTTCTTATCTAAGAGCAAATCACAGATAAGAAAACAGTGGTGACTTCCAGAATCTTTGTGAAAGCTGCGTAAGGAGAAATGTGTTCATGGTTGGTGAATGAGGCCCAGTGTTAATATGGTGTGACACAGCTTTGGTGGTTTTGCTGCAGAGCCATGACAAATCACTGGCCAGTCTCATGATGTTTCTCAGAGCATATGCATGAAATACTGTTTGAACACTTCACTTAGGGAGTGTTGACAATGCTTATTGACTGCTGACACGATGGCCTCTCTGCTGTTAATCAGCCTCAGACAGCCAAACCAGCGAAACTGCAAGAGTTTACAGATTCTCATCAAGAAGAAATCTCTCACAGGACTTGACTTGGTGTCTGAGAAGGGAACCGTTTCACTTATGGCTTTTAGCATCACTGAAAAAAACAGCACATTTCAATCTCAGAATCTGGAGCATGCAAACACTGAATGGAGTCTTTTGGTCTAGTAACTAACAAAGGTCAGGGCCATATTTTCACCCTTGATCCACCACCTTTGATTTTAATGTGTAATTCCAAGTGTTGTATTGTGCTTCGCATAAGAGAAAGTACTGTGTGATTGTCTCAATTCTCCTGTGTTACTCTGTTTTCCTGCTCACCCTCAGAACATTGAGTACAAGCTGGACCCCAAGACAAAGAACCTGCCTTACCTGCGAAACCCCGACATCCTGGTGGGCGAGAATGACCTCACAGCGCTCAGCTACCTCCACGAGCCAGCCGTGCTGCACAACCTCAAAGTCCGCTTCATCGACTCCAAGCTCATCTACACTTACTGCGGTAGGAAGGCACTCCGACCTTTTAATGACAACGTGCTGTATGTGATCAGTGGTTTGGTATGAGCACTTCCGAACATATCAACGTTTACTATGAAAATGATGAGGTGAACCTCTGGGAAAATCTTGATGGGTATTTTCCAGAACTACTACATCAGATGGGCGTCTCATTGGGTCCCATTTTAATAATGAAAAGAATAGGAACTAAATAATGTTTCAAGGTGTACAATTTTATATTTTATTAGTTAAGTACAGCCTTGGTGTCTGTGACCTTCACTGACCCCTAGTGTATGTATGCTCAGTCAACCATGTTGTGCTTTTGAATGGCATTTATAAAATGTGTCCCTTATTAGCTGTAAACTGTGGTCATATTCACCACCATGGTCACACATGTACTAAAGTTGTACAGTGAGGTACTGTTTGTTTTGCTCTTACATGCTATTTCTCTGCTTGTTTTCCCACTTATTTTAAAGTTTTTTTGCTGCATATGTAAAATTAGAAAATGTCACACAATCTAAATAACATCATACTACAGTAACATAAAGTCTACTTTCTGGAGTCATGCAAGATCCCTCCCAAGTTGATGCTAAGTACTATATGTCAGCTAAGCACAGTTTAGACTTTGGGGTCTTGTTTTCTGCTGACACTGTTGTTTGTCTTAATCAGTCGCCTTCTGAACTTGAACTACACTCTGTACCCTCTTGGTTTGGAAAGCCGTATAACAGTTTGATAATTATTTAATACAGAGCAGCTCACACTTTCCCTCTGTGCTCTTTGTCATAGGAATCGTTCTGGTGGCCATCAACCCGTATGAGATGCTGCCCATCTACGGAACAGACATTATCAATGCCTACAGCGGGCAGAACATGGGAGACATGGACCCACATATCTTTGCAGTGGCAGAGGAGGCTTACAAACAGATGGCTAGGTAGGGGTGTGTGTGTGTGTGTGTGTGTGTGTGTGTTACCTCAGCAGACACCATTCTAGTCTCCTTGTTGCTCAGCCCTGACTCTTCAGGGTTTGTAGGTCAAAGATGAGTTAAAAATAGCCTTCTGGTGGTCTCACTGTCTGTCTCAGTACTGTAGAGCAGATTTCATCAGCACTTCCTTTTCAAATTAGTTTTAGTTTAGTGACTCTTCATTATGTTCATGACAACGCATTCTCTATGTTACGGGTCTAAACCATTATTTAAAAGTAGGATGCGGGGTAGCAATTAATAATGTCTGTACACTGATTTAATGGCATTCTGTGCCTTCTGAGTCACCAGTGGGTGCAATAGGAGCCTTAGGTGGATACAGGCTGGTTGCAAAAGTGAAAAAAGATAACAACAGAGCTCAGAGCTTACTCCAAAGAAAGGTACCTGAATGAAGAGGAAGAATTTGCCTCAGATTTGGGGAAATGGAAGAGAATGACAGAGGAGCTTTAGGGGTTATTAGGTGTGTTAACACTTGCTCTGCCTGATGCTACTGAATATGTGCCAAATGCTGACACTATATATCAGCCCAAAGTGAAATCCTGGCATTGTTTGTATTAGGATCAGTCCACAAAGCCATCACCCTTAACCTTATCCTTTAAGTTAACACGGCCTTAACTCCAATTAACTCATCTTTCAAAAAAACATGTATAACAAATACATTCCATCTCTTGATACCTGTCAATATGACCTCGGTCCATTCAGTTTTATGTTGAACTAATATGGTGTCGTCTTAAATCTGTATGTTCTACCTGTCAGGGATGAGAGGAACCAGTCAATCATTGTGAGCGGAGAGTCTGGAGCAGGAAAGACAGTATCAGCCAAATATGCCATGAGATACTTTGCTACCGTCAGCGGCTCTGCCACCGAGGCCAACATCGAGGAGAAGGTTCTGGCATCCAACCCAATCATGGAGGTGAGGACCGGATGAGGTCTGCTGACAGAAACGGCTGATTACATTCATTTTTATCTTCAAGAGAAACTGGTTCCTAAACACAGTCACATACATCTGAAATCCAGAACATGGATTAGCTGCATATAAAAGATGAAATATAAAATAATTAAACTGTTATAAACTTCTTTTTTGAGTATTTTCTTCTCATTTGTACTGGTTTTAATAATGCAGTCAATACAGAATCACTGTCCAGGTTTACTGCCAAATTTTTAGACTTACTGAATTTTTTAAATCACTTGATGCAACATGCTACAACCGGCCTGCTTCAAATTATAGGTCAAAATACAGGAAATGTGTTGTGGGTGTGAAGGACTGGATAGATCCCCACAAACTTCCATAGCTGTGAATTTGTCAACAAGGTGTCAGTCTTTCTTTATGTCTCTTGGCGCTCTGTTCTTGGCCCAGTTACTGTAGTGTACCGTACGTTCATCAGCTTAGCTGATTTGTGAATGATAAGGGCTCAATGTTATGCTGTTTGTACTTCTGTCATGTCCTCTGCGTTCTTCTCCACTGGCATTTACTTACTCCCTTCCCTTCAGCTTCTCCACTGCACACCGTCTTTCTGGCCTCAGGTTGCTCTCTGCAGGTCGTATCCTTTAGTGTGTTTGTGTCTGTGTGTATGTGCGCATTTCTTTTCTGCAGAGTCATAAGGACAGGAGGGGTTAGAGAGCTCCCCTGTGCCCATATGCCACTACACCCTTCCAACCCCTCCGTCCTGCCATCCCCCACTCTGTCTGTCTTTTCCAGCCACTCTGCTAACATCACTCTCCTCCACCCAGCCACTGTTTTCACCTCAAGCCCATCAGACACAAACTCAGAAAATAAAGTCACTTCTACATCCTGGATGCAGAGTAGATGGTTGCAACAGCCTTTTCAGTATCATAAAAACCTGCATGTTATACGTGTACATTTGTACATATTTAAGAGATGCAGGCAGAGACTGGAACACCCGCTCGGCTGAAAGACTCCTTGTCTGCAGTGAAAGACTGCGTTTGGCCTTAACTCTTCAAGAGCCTTATGTGCTCTGCTCACACATGATTTAAGTGTCTTCAAGCTGGCTGCTTGGATCTCTGTGTTTATATGTAGCCCCACCCATCTATTGACAGTCCCTTGAGAGGTCGCTGATCCTGTATATTGAACTAAGGTTTCTGAATGTAGACTATTTGTTCATCAGCATATTGTACAGTAGCTCATTGATTACAGAAGCTGATACAATGGTTTTATGTGGAAGGACAGAGAACCATTAAAGCATACTAGCATGTTCTGAAGCGTGGACCAGCCACAGATAAAATGCAGCGCGTTTCAGGCTGTAACTCAAACTGTGAGAGAACGCATTAGTTTAACGATCAGGAAATCGTTAGAGAACATTTCTGTCACTGCATATGTATTTAAAAATAGTTCAGCTTATTCACTATACTGCTCTCATGTCTGCACAATTTCCTGTGCACAGTAGATTTTGAACTGCTTTTAAGTGAAAAATGTTCTATCCTGTCAAAATGTAAACACTACCACAATAAAATGCTTTATGGTTTGTAATCTATGCGATTGTCGTCTGTCGTTCAGGCCATCGGAAATGCAAAGACCACCAGAAATGACAACAGCAGTCGTTTTGGTAAATACATCGAGATAGGGTTCGACAACCGCTATCGCATCACTGGCGCCAACATGAGAACATATCTGCTGGAGAAATCACGAGTGGTGTTTCAGGTGAGCACATAGATGCACATTCAGGTTTGTGTAAACATGCACACACAGAGGCTGTTTGGTTTGTTACATTGATGAACATTCATTCCTTCACTCGTTAGTCTGTTACCACGGCCTCAGGTTAAGATAAAACACAACTGACCTTTGTACATTTCATTCTGAACTTGGCTCTTGAAGGTAATTGACATAAAACACACCGTACTCTGAATAGCCCACAGCTGCTGTATGTCCAGCTTTAGTTCACGAAGAGGCCAGTTTTTAGTTTTCAGGTTTTTTTTTCTCTCAGATGAGTCTAAAGTCTGTGGCATTGCTGTGTCCTCTAGCCATGCTGCTTGGTTTCCTGGTGAAGATGTATGTTTGTGAACATGTTGCTCTTGAGACACATCTTTCTCTGACACTCTAGCCTCTGCAGGGTTACAAACACCCCTTCCTAAAGAGGCGACTGAGTATCATGTTTGATGGCCGCTGTCATAACCACTCTACTTGGGCTTGTTTCCTTGACATCCAAGGTTCTCGAAGCCTGTCAGCAGCAATGTATTTACATTAATGCACTACAGCCATAATGTAACTCATTCAGGGGATTATTGGCTGGTATCAGAGTGATCTTATAGTAGCCGGCATAGATGATTGTCTAATTTGAGCCATTACAGCAAAACCCTAGCTGGGATTTTATGTATCTGTTATTGAAACTGGTTTTGAAACTTGACAAAAAACATGTTCACTCCAGTTACTGCAAAATTCTCCAAGCCAAATGGCAGGAAACCTGCAGTGGAACAGTGATCTCAAGTAGACCCCGAACAACTTTGACTGGAAGCTTAAGAGGTAGCAGTGGTATAGCCAAACTTAAGATCCCACAATTTAACAAAAACGTTACACCTGCAGTAGTGCTATACAGCTTGAGATCGAGAGCGGTCTCGAGACGACTTTTTGAAGGTCTGTCTATTTTATTTCTTAACATCATTACCAAGGTTTTCCCTACCATAACAACACTTGGGTGCAGCAACGGCCTTAAGCCAAATTAATGTAATAAAGGCGACACATCAGAATGAATGTAAAAAACAACGACCAGAGTTCTCTGCTGAAAAATAAAATGAGCTGGCTGGATCTCAAACCTATGTTGGCAACAGGAATACCCTGCTAATCAACACCCATTGTTTGGACACACAAATCAATCAACTGATTGGATATTCCTCTGTACTGGATGGTAGTTACACCCAGAGTGGATTAATATCTTAATAACGACAGGAGACAGAGGAGTTAAAACAAATGTGGCTTATTTTACAGCTAAAGAATTTGCTAAGCTATCTAACAAAGATACTAATGTACTGAATTAGGTTGAGTTAGCGTGGGAGGCCGGGCTAACGTTGCCCCAATATTCACAGATTACAAGTTTCTGGATCAAAAAGTCATAGCGAAAGTTTGTTAAAACACGAATGTCGCCTCTTTCTAATCGTAATAATGTAGAAAACGAGCTACAACCCAATTTTCATCAGAACAAGCCATCCTCCGAGCCTTACCTACAGTATGCACACTCACTAGACAAATAACACTGGTCTCTGTGCAGCTGGCTGTGAGACCAGCACGTAGGGACTGTCTACACAGAGCAACGCCGAAATGAGAGAGAGCCTACTACAAAAATATTAAATTGCCCAAATAACCCTTATATAGTTTAGCAGGCCTACAGCCATATTTGTTCAGTCATCAGGGGCCTCCTGTTGGTTATACTAAAACACATAACACATGTTTTAGGGGAAAATATTCAGTAACTTTACCCCTATATCGTGTCACTAGTATCACTGAAACACAGGCGAGCCAGTACTATCAAACTAAGTTTAAGTGCCCTGGTCTTGACTTGGTCTGAACCCCTTAAAGTCTTGGTCTCGATACACTGGTTTTGATCTTGACTTGGTCTCAGTTTACAACACTAGCCTGCAGTAGTAATTCAGTAGATAATTACTGTTGTCACTCAGGTAGATCGTAATGCTCGTTTGTATACTTCATGTCCTTATGAAGAAGTGCAGCCAACCACACACACATGCACATTAGTTAATGTCATCACCACAAAGTCTCAGAGAAGCCAAATCAGTGCACATTTAAACAGAACTTGCTGTTGCTCAGCAGCGTCTTGTTTATCAGTCTCCTGTAAACATCTTGATTACTACTGTCTTGATAAGTTCTATATAGCTCACTGACCTTTTCCTTTTATAAAACCTGACTGTATATTCAGCGGGTGTGTTTGCTCACTGGTGGAGCCAGTAGGGCAGTGTGTAGATAAAGAACAAAGATATTTTATTTCTGCACACACATGTGCATGTACACACACACAGCTATCAATGACAACACTGCTGGGGAATGAGGAAACAGGCAGAAAACTGTGATTGCTTTCCTTGTTGCATTTTTCACATACTTGACTGCAGTAACACCCATGTAGAAGTGTGTGTGTGTGTGTGTGTGTGTGTGTGTGTGTGGCCTAGTATTACTCATTTACACAATCACACTATGGAGACTTGACATCCTTATGGGGACAAAAAGCAAGTCCCTAAAATGAAAATCTTTGAATTTTAGAGTGATGACTTTGTATAAAGTTATGGTAAATCTCCAAAAAATGAGTGCAAGTCCCTTGAAGTTGTGGAAACTCTGTGTGTGTGAGAGAGAGAGAGAGAGAGAGAGAGAGAGAGAGGGAATGTGGGGCCCCGGTAATGGATCTTGAGGCTTTTACATATTGTTTGAGGCCGTTCTAACATGCAGTCTGTTTATTAACACTGAAAATGAGTCTGTGGCTCCAGCTGTCTTTGCCAGTTGTGTTATTTATACCCATTGATAGTGTGATCTATCAGGTACCCTGTCATGAGCAGAATACATGAATACAGCTGCATCTTGTTTGATTATCATTGACTTGCCATTGAACAAGGCACTACATCATCAGCGGTTCCAGTGGAGCTCCCATATGATAAAGAGTCAGACTGTATCATTGTAAAGCACATGAGTATGGATTTATGTCGAGTGCAAACACTGTTCATTTTCTCTGCATGAATTAAAGTTACAAATAAAAAAGGATCAAGCTTGTGATGATGACTGAATAGAACACACTGAATGTGTAGAACAACACTGTTTATGTGGTGTATTTGTCATACGTGTACACGTAGCATTTCCCTAACATTGTATGGTCTTCATGCTTCGCTCCAGGCCGATGACGAGAGGAATTATCATATCTTCTATCAGCTCTGTGCATCATCCCATCTGCCTGAGTTCAAGTCTCTGAAGCTGAGTAAGTCTCATGCACATATGCACACACACACGCACATACACAGAACTCCGTGGTTGACTAATTGCATTAATGGTGCATTCACACAACAAGGAGTTACAAAAACAGGAACTGAAAACTTCACTTTCTTGCAACAGAGAAAACCACTCATCATTCTGTTTTTCTGTGGTAAATTTCACTGCAACCCTCAGGCATGTGAATATTGTCTTACCTAGAGCCCTGGCCCAATGCATTACAGCTACAGTATCTGAAAACAGTCGTAGATACATACTTGCTATAAATGCCAAGCTGACACGTGTTAGCAGAAGCAACTGAATACAAGAAGAGGCTCAACTCATTATTGCAGACTTTGTTTCAACTGCTGATTTCTGACACTGGGACTTGAGGCTTTGTGATGTGAAAGTGTTCTTGTTACTTGTTGTCTTATTTAGCAAATTAGCAGTTTTAATTGTGTTAATCATCAGTTGTCAAGAGTGTGCACATGCTCGTAAATGGGCAGAATTTATACAGATACCCTCAGCACCTGAGTTACGACTGCTGCTGCAGAAGGAATTGCGGCTGATATTTAAGGTCAGGAAAAAGCAAGTTTTAAATTTGCAGCACTGCTGTCAGTGTGGCAGCCCGTTTGTCATCTGAGACCTCGTCAGTGTTAAGAACACATCTGAGGAGGGAGACGGTGCCACTGAATCACATCTGTCGTTTTGGGACACCAGAGGAGAATTGAGGGACGTTTAGAGGCTTTTGGGTCATACTGTTCCTTCACTTACTGAGTGAAGTGAAAGACACTTTGGCTGCAGAAGACTACGTGATTACAGTTTGGACATAGTTTTGTTGGTGTCTTTAACCAATATTAAAGTTCAGTAGCAGTAAACGTGCCCACACATGCACAGTACAGGCAGCAGGTCCTCATAAACAGAAGTGCATTGGCACCAACACTGCTGTGGCTGTGCCTCATTTACATCAATAGTGCTGGTAAATATGCTGCTGAATTGTGGTTACACAGTATTTTGCACACCTGGTGGTGATTTGCACCTGGTTAATTTGCTATTATTTCCTGATGTATGTTTCCCAGTAAGAGCCACATTTAAATAACACCAGCTGGAAACCTTGCTATAGATTGAATATAGAACAAGGACAGGAAAAAGATTTCCAGTGACCACAGGTCTTTTTTTTTTTTTTTTTGAGGCGTATTAAACTCAATGACTCTGTGGTTGAACAGGCTCTCACACAGAACGCTCCCACTGTGGGCCTGCACCTGCTCATCCTCCACACACACACACACACACACACATTGCAGGCTCTGACATTTACAGCCACCAAGTTGGCTCTGTGTCCCTCTCCCGCTCTCGTTCTCTCTCACACACACACACACACACACACACACACACACACACAGCTGCTGTGTTTTCCTCCCTTGCTGACTTCCTGGCTCAGTAAATGGAGCACTTGTCACAACCATGTCCGTGCCTCTTGTTGCCAGGCTACAGGCCATGCCTTAACTCAGTGTGAAGTGCATGTGAAGAAGTTGATTGTGGTAAAGTTGAGCTACCATCGTTCTTACACCGAAATGTTTTGAAATGGACTTTTCTCTCAGAGCCTTGAACAAAGTCTTGATAGTGTGTGTATGTGTCTGAGACAGTGCAGGCTGCTTTTAGGAATCACATCACTTTCCAAGAGTCTGTGTTTGACATGCCCACCCAAACCTAATTAACTTAAAGGACAATGAATGACAGAGTCCTGCTCCAAGAAAACAACATGCTGTGTATTGGGGAAACGTTGCTGTGCTCTGTTGTCTTTAATCTTTGCCAGCTGACTGAACATCTTTTGGCCACCATGGTGGGTATCCTTGGTTTTCTTGACAATTCAGCTTTAGCGTAGCAAATCGGTATTGGTGCTGTGGTTACTGGCAAGGGAATCCTGACAGGTATCAAATATTTGCTGCTTAGTGTGACACTCCCTAGCTATTTTTATTGAGGCCAAAATAATTTAATGCACCTGTTGTATTTCCTAAATCATCTACAAGGTAGTTTTCTGATGATTGAGTAATGAGGGTGCTGTTGATTGCACATTTTTAGCCAAGATGCACAGCGTAAGATTGCACACAATACTCAAGTTTTCAGAATAATTGACTTTCTCTGTCTCTCCACTCAGGCAATGCAAATGACTTCCTGTACACCAGGCAGGGTGGCAGCCCCGTTATCGACGGCGTGGACGACAGCAAGGAGCTTTGTACCACTCGCAATGCCTTCACTTTGCTTGGTAACCGACACATACTCAGGTGTAAAAATGTACACACTTGTGTGGAAGATGTAGGAATTTTAACCCTGGAGTCAAATGCAAGTCAGTTAGAACTCATCTGCGTATACTCAGGCGATTAGGGTTTAATGTGCATAAGGGTAAAATAATGTAAAGTACCAGGCGAGAAACTCTAGCAGGGACATTGTGGAGATGAATCACTCAGGCAGTCATAGTAACCAGCTTGTCTGTTTGTGTTTGTGTTGTTTGTCCCCTGCAGGTATTAATGACTCCAACCAGATGGGGTTGTTCCAGGTTCTTGCTGCCATCCTTCATCTGGGAAATGTGGAGATAAAGGATAAAGATGCAGACAGCTGCCTCATTCCTGTGAGGACAGTATTTTAATTCTGTACCACTGTAACTGCTGCACACCAGCTGCATACAGTTTCCCATATGTGGCCACTAGCAATTGGAAATGTTTTTATGATCAAAGGTGCTGTAGTTTTTGTTTTTTAAAAAGCTTAATGGTGAAGAGACAAAATGTTAAATTGGGTAAAAGTCTTAGATTATCAATCAGCATAAATATAATGGCCTGTGTTGCGCTATAGACTACTGTTAATTGTGAACGTGTTAGTTGATCTGTGAAAGGACTCCTTCACAGCAACATTATACACAGGTTTGTTTTGACCATATCATCATATTCACTGCTAAGGTGTTGGAGTAAATGGTTAAAATCTCTTCCTGTTGCTGTAGCCCAACAATCGCCACCTGACGGCGTTCTGCGAGCTGGTGGGCGTGACCTATCAGGACATGGCTCAGTGGCTGAGCCACAAGAAGCTGAAGACGGCTACAGAGACATATATCAAGCCCCTCCCTCGTCTGCAGGCCACCAACGCCCGTGACGCGCTGTCCAAACATATTTACGCCAAACTCTTTAACTGGATTGTGGAGCACGTCAACAAGGCTCTGATCGCCAGTGTTAAACAGCATTCTTTCATCGGGGTCCTCGACATCTACGGGTACATCTGCACATTTGACTGACTGATGGATGTAGGACTAGCCTTTCTTTAACCCTTGAATATTTGAGTGGGAATTTGAGGGTGGACTGTGTGCTGTGTGGTAACTTGATTATTAAATAGCTGAGCAGTCTGGCCTTTCAAAAGGCATTATGCATCCAGTTAACATCTTGCTTCTTTCTTGCAAGGTTTGAGACATTTGAGGTCAACAGCTTTGAGCAGTTCTGTATCAACTACGCCAATGAGAAACTCCAACAACAGTTCAACATGGTGAGCAGCGTGCCTCACATCTGTTCTACTGCACCTTATATCCAATAATATGAAATAATGGCTGTATTGCTAAATCCCTAGTAATGATATAGTTATAAAGCTAAATCCATAACTGCATGTGTATCTGTGTGTGCGCAGCATGTGTTCAAGCTGGAGCAGGAAGAGTACATGAGGGAGCAGATCCCGTGGACTCTGATCGACTTCTATGACAATCAGCCCTGCATCAACCTCATAGAAGCCAAGATGGGTGTTCTGGACCTGCTGGATGAGGAGTGCAAAGTACCTTTGCTTTAGTCTACTAAATTATATTTAATACATGTTTCATATTTCCAGAGTGCCCACATGTGTAACATGTACACACTGTGGCAGCTCAGCTAGATCACGAACAATGCTAGATGTCAGGCATTGTTAACATTATTGCAGTGTAAATCACCTGTTGCCAAAAATTATCAGAAAAATGAGAGAGGAGAAAAACAGACACTCATACAATGTAATGCCATGCAGTCTAACAACTCTGCCATAGATATAGTCTGTCATAAAATATTAAGATTTGTTGTACATAGGTTTCTAATTTTTTGGTCACTCTGTATTCCTACGCAAGTCAGCCTGTATGCTACATGTTTTTTCACATTGTTTCCATTGTGTCTAATCCCTGTATGTACCAGATGCCTAAAGGTTCAGATGATTCTTGGGCTCAGAAGTTGTACAACACCCATCTAAAGACCTGCTCCCTCTTTGAGAAGCCACGCATGTCCAACCGCGCCTTTATCATCCAACATTTTGCTGACAAGGTGGGCCTGACTGACATCATGTTTGTTTCATGTGTGCACAATGAGTCATTTCACTAATTATTGTGGACTTAGTTCGGAATTTTGTTCCTTATTCAGCTTGAAACATAATGATATGGCAGGTGTTAGTTTGAAGAAATTCTGTTTTGTGTTACAGTGTGTCTTTTTAGTTCAGTGGACAACATTTAGGAACAGACTGGCTGCTGCAGTGCTGCTCTGAGATATTTTTAGGACAGCTGGAGGCAGAATGGCAGGGTTTTTTTTGTTAACACTGGTTTTATACAAAAGTCCCTTTTGCAGGGAAGTGTTTAGAGTGTGTGTGCCTGGTATTACTTATACTTTAGGGACTGAAACTTATTGACACTCTCATGCTGTGGGGACTTGAACAGACCGGGTGCTGGTCTCCAAAATGTAAATCACAAAATCTGCGTGTGTGTATTCTGGTGTAATCCACTGTAGTGTAATGGGTTATATATGCAGTAATGAGGCGCTGCATGATGAAGTGATATTTTTCATGTCTGTTTTTAGATCCTCACTATAAACGGGTCAAGAACTAAGGCTTTCCCATGAGGTCCCCTGATATTAAAATGGGATCTCTTGGAGACATACTGACTTGTGATAAATTAAAGGAAAAGCCAATATAAAGTGTCTCAGTCAGGTGTTGTGCCACCAGAACAGCTTCATTGAGCCTTGGCACTGACTACTAGTCTCTCAAGTCTACTGGAGGGATGAACATCATTCTTCCAAAAGATATTCCCTCCTTTGGTGTTTAATGATGATGGTGGAGACGTTGTCTAACAAATCAGTCCGAAATCTCCCATAGGTGTTCATCTGGGTTGAGATCTGCTGACTGTGAAGGCCACAGCATATGATGTACATCATTTTCACACTCATCAGCCCTATGGATGGGGGCACTGTCCTCCTGGAAGAGACCACTCATTTGTTCAGGTTTTTCCCTTAATCTGGCACCTGTCTGTATCTAATTAAATATTTGAAATGATGGATTTTGGTGTATTAAAGGAAACTTGCATCAGGCTGTACATGAGCTGCTCTGCAGATGTCACTGTTAGCCGCCTCAGTTTGATTTAAAGCCAAGACATGAAAACATTACATTGCTTAAACACAGGTTATGTCCATGGTTAGGTTTAAAATATTGAGGTTAGTCTGCTGAATACAGAGTTTCTTGTATGTGCCCCTCTGCCAAAACGTCATGGCTTCCTTCCACACACATGGAAATAGTTTAAGGTTAGCAGTTTTTAGATTTTCAGTAAGCCAACTTGTAACAGGAATATGATTTAGGGGCGACTGTGGTTCAGTGGGTAGAGCAGTCATCTCCCAACCGGAGGATCAGAGGTTTGAATCTCGGTGCCTGCAGTCCATGTGTCGAAGTGTCCTTGGGCAAAACACTGAACCCCGAAGTTGCCCCCAATGGTTAGAGCCATCAGTTGAGTTGGTGCCGCAGATGGCTGCCTCAGTTCTGTACCGGAAACCAATTCCTTGTGTGTAACATATTTGGCCAAATAAAGGTGATTATGATTATGAATATGATTATTATGGTTTAGAAAAGCAGGTAAACTGTAATCTTTCATGAGAAATGATTGGCCCAGTGAAATGTGGTAATACAGACTGTGCTGTCTTGTTGCTGATCAGGTCGAGTACCAGTGTGAAGGTTTCCTGGAGAAGAACAAGGACACTGTGAATGAAGAACAGATCAACGTGCTGAAGGCCAGCAAGGTGAGGTGCACAAGCTCAGGAAGAACATCTGCATTACAGTATAAATCCAAAGCGGTATAGTGTAGATAGAAGTGCTATAAAGCATCCATTGTGAGTGTGTGGACTGCTGTGTTCTTCAAAAGACCCCTGAAGCTGTGACACACCTCTATGTGAAAAACACACAGTGGGAGCACCACTGTTTCACTGTGCTAAAGTACTGCCTGAAGGCTCCGGGAAGCAGCACCCTCTGCTGGTGATGTGAAGAAAATGTTGACTCAAGCAGAGAAGACAAAACGTTCGATCCAGGAGATTTATTGTCAGTGAGGTTTAGGTTTTTGTTTATAGACCACACACACATGCACTACATAGTAAGTTGGGTCCTTGGTTAAACATGACATGCATTTTATAAAGACTGATGTCACAATTTTTCAAATGATCATTGTCTGATTTTGCTAATTTCAGAGTGCTATTGAAAACTTTATACAGGCTCTTTAACTTTAGCTCTGTAAGACTCTGCGATGAGTTCTTCTGATCTCTGCACACATGCTCACACAGGTAGATGCACACGCCGTGTAGTCCGAATTAACATCACAAGATTTTTATCACGGGCAGAGTTGGGTAAGGGTTAACATTTTGCCTGCTATAACCCCTAACACAACCACTTAACACACACAGACACACTCGCATGTAGAGTCTGATTGTTGCCATGGAAATCAGCAACACGTGAAAGGAAATGTAATGACAACTTAATAGGATTTAGTACAAATAAGTTTGTTTATGGTTCTGTGCCAAGTGTATCCCATCATTGTGTGTGTGTGTATGTGCCAGATGTGCACACACTTGTGCACATTAAATCTATGTACATTTCATGTAAGAGTATTCAGTTTGTCAAAAGGCTTGCAATTAAAGTTCTTTGCCTGCCTCATTTATTCATTTGGTACTTTTCTTGCAACAGTCAGAGAATAATTGACTCATTTTATAAACATTATGCAGCTAACCTTTTTCATTGCATTATCATATAACGGTATGATATGAAATGTGGATGTAGAATGCTTGACAGTGAACAGTTAAATATTTGAGCATCTAATGGAGCCATTAGATGACACTCAGGAGTCTCACATTAATGTCTCCCTCCAAGTCTACTCAGCACTGTGCATTCAAGAAATGTCTGATGCAGTAATTTCCCATTATGCTTTGTAATCTGGGAGCATGATTAAAATGACATATTGTTGTTTTGCAGGCTTGGAATTCAGTGGCAATCCATCCCTAGTGTTCTGAGTTGGATCTGATCAGAAATGATCATTCCATCATACTCTTACTGTACATCTTCATCTTTAGTCTGCCTGGTTTTATTTCCTTTTTCATTGTGAATCATAAATGTATATTCTGGTTTTTGATTTGATTGGGATGACAATGATTTAGAATTTTGGGTCTTTTGGTTTTTTTTAACCTTTCCTTTTAATGCCATTGTGTTTCTGTTGTCACTGTGTCTCCATATGTTGTCCATGAGTGTTTGGTTCTGTCCTCACCATGACAACCTTCCCTGCCAGCAGAAGGTAAACAGAGGCGTTCTTGCAGCGCTGGGTCGCCTGTAGCTCCTCCTCTAGCTTTCTTTTTATCTTTTATCTTTCCTTTTTCCTTTTCTCTGTCTCTGGCACTCAGTTATTAGCACCCTAACAGCACCAAGGTGATAAAAGCTGTGTGTGTATGCATGCATCTTTGTTTGCTGCATGGAGCACACTAAAGGCACTCCGGGAGGAGAAAAGGGGATTGGACATTAAAGCCAGGGACAGTGGAAGGACGATATGTTATGTATTCAGAATGATGCTGAGAGCAAGCAGCACATGAAGCCTTGTGGCTGTGGCACTGCTGCTTAATGATGCTGGGGAGAGAAGCAGCATGGCAGTGCTCTGAGCACAGCAGGAGGACCTGAGGCTACACACATAACACAGCATCCTACTCATATAACCTCAGTGTTCTATGGAGGATAATGGCAGAATAATACCATGCAGTCATATACTATATGGCAGAACATTTCATTACTTTTATTGGCGTTTTGTAACATTTTAACAACTGTCTGACAGTGAATGAGTTTAACAAATGCAAATAAACGGATCCAGTGACCTACTCACCGATTAATACTGATTAACTCCCTATACCAGATTACTGGAGTTGTTAAATTATTAAGACTTGCGTCAGAATATAGCTGTTGTCCTGCTTTGTAATCCTACTTGCACTCTGCAGTATGTAAGGAAAATCTAAACGTGTGGCTGTAAGAAGAGACTGTTAGAAACTATTTGTTCTCATGTTTGAGCTACTAACAGTTTTTCAAAGCAAAATGCTTTGCCATTAACAATGCCATCAGCATTCCTTTTTGTGATTATTTGGTGCTGTTCCCAGTTTGACCTGCTAGTGGAGCTGTTCCAAGATGAGGGGAAAGCCTCCAGCCCCACTGGTCAGGCCCCTGGGACCGGAGGCCGGACCCGACTCAGCATCAAGCCTGACAAGAGCCGGCAATCGAGCAGCAGGGAGCACAAGATGACCGTCGGTTGCCAGGTTGATATGTTTCTCCAGTGTTATGTGGACTGAAGCGGTGGTATGATGCAGTCATATATGGATTTGATGCATCTTCAAAAGTTTCTGAGCTACAACCTGAAGAAAACCACCATTAGTGAAATGTAGTTTTTCTTTTAAACTAACAATGATATCACTATGATTCCAAATGCTAGGGGTAGGTTTCCATGGTCAAGGAATCATTATGAGGGTTAAACTATCATGGGAATCTTGCTTTTAGGTGTAACGGCATTATGGGGACGATGAACTGCCTTGGCGGAGGTTTGCGTTCTCTGAGTGCCGTCTAATAGTGTGGATGCTTCACAGCATCCACACTGTTATCCTGGCATTTTTAAACATGTGTTAGGCTAAATAGTACAAAAGGTATGATGCCATTTCTGCTGCTGATCTTGATGGTCCTTTCTTCTAGTTTCGTAACTCTCTGCAAATGCTGATGGAGACTTTAAACGCTACCACTCCGCACTATGTCCGCTGCATCAAACCCAACGACTTCAAGTTGGCCTTCTCGTGAGTCACCTGTCTCACTGTTTTATGTATCGGCATCTTCTTTTTAACTCAACTTCAAGTGGTCTTAAAAAAAAAAAAAAAAAAGGTAATCCCTATTCCATGGCAGCATAATGTAATTATTTTTCTTTTTTGGACTTCTTCATAGTCTCAGTTTAGATTTAAGACACCAGTAAGACAATCATTATTTTAAATAGGCAGCATAGCATTTTTGTCAATTTCCTAACAGTTCTCATTTCACAAAGACAGTGTTGCCATTTTTGGATCATGCTTAGTCACCGTCTTAGGCAGAATTCACAACAGCCATATTGACTGTGATTACTCTGTGTTTGCAGATTTGATCCCAAACGTGCGGTGCAGCAGCTCAGAGCCTGTGGTGTCCTTGAGACCATTCGCATCTCTGCTGCAGGTTTTCCCTCCAGGTACTGATGGGTCCCAGCAGCACAGCTGCTGATTCTCAGGCTGTTGTAGGCTTTATATCAGCTGTTTTTCAAGAGACAAAGTAGTGAAATGGTATTAAATTAAGTGTGTTCATGGGTTTCTTTACAAGAATACACCAGAATGCGTTTTATATACCTTTATATCCTATTCATGTATATAATTGAGCTGTAGGTCTTTAGCTGTTCTACAGCAAGCTCATCAGGAAAGCAAACTGTAGCCTGCTTGTACTTTTACTTCGGTAAAAACTTAGCTTGACTCAGTAAACAGTAAGGAGTTAAATGATTCAACCTTTTGCGTCTGTGTGTCTCAGATGGACGTACCAAGAATTCTTCAGTCGCTACAGAGTGCTGATGAAGCAGAAGGACGTGCTCCCAGACAAGAAGTTAACATGCAGAAATGTTCTGGAGAAACTAGTGCAGGTCAGACTCTCTGGGTTTTCACCTTTCTTCTTAAAGATATTGAAGAAAATAACCATTTTAAAGTTTAACAATAAAAAATAAGAGTTGTGTTTCCTGCGGTGTTTAAATCATGAATGGGCTGTCTGTCTAATCACTGTCGCACCCCTGAACTCTGCTGCTGTCATGCTTCAGGACCAGGATAAATACCAGTTTGGTAAGACCAAGATCTTCTTCAGGGCTGGCCAAGTCGCCTATCTGGAGAAGCTGAGGGCAGACAAGTTGCGTGCTGCCTGCATCCGCATCCAGAAAACCATCCGCTGCTGGCTGGCACGCAAAAGGTATCTGCGCCAGCGCAGTGCTGCCATCACCATCCAGAGGTTCACGAGAGGATACCAGGCTCGCTGGTGAGTCAACTGAACGAGACGTTCACAAGACGCCTATAACTCTTTTTGACCAATTTTCATTATGGGTATGAAAGAGCTTAACACATTTCCATTTCGAAATCGGAGAATGGAGATTTGTAAATGATTACTTTAACTCTGTTGACTTCCCTCAGCCTTGCCAAGTTCATGCGGCGCACCCAGGCAGCCACCATCATCCAGAAGTACCAGAGAATGTATGTGGAAAGGAAACGCTACAGACAGAAGCAGGCTGCCGCCCTGGCCATGCAGACGATCCTCAGAGCTTACATGGCCCGACAGAAGTACCAGGCGGTAAGACACATGACACAGAACACTGATAAAAATCTAATGTTCTTCATACTGTAAAATGTCAGAAGAATCTCCATGACTGTCTGTTTCTGTCTGTAGCTACTCCGGGAGCACAAGGCAGTGATCATTCAGAAACATGTCCGTGGCTGGTTGGCTCGGTGCTGGTACAAGCGCTGCCTTCATGCCATCGTCTACCTGCAGTGCTGCATCCGCAGGATGAGGGCAAAACGCGAGCTAAAGAAGCTGAAGATCGAGGCCCGCTCAGTGGAGCACTTCAAGAAGCTCAACAAAGGCATGGAGAACAAGATTATGCAGCTGCAGAGAAAGATCGATGAGCAGGTGAGGTGTTAGTCCACCCCTTCTCCCCCAGTTTTTTCTTATATTTATTGTTTATACTGTATATTTGAAGCCCCATGTGACACAGTCTAACACATGGGTATTTTTACACTTTTAACCATCTATCCCATACCTCCAGAACAAGGACAACCGGTCCATCAGTGAGAGGCTACTTAGTTTAGAGAGCTCCTATGCAGCAGAGAGCGAGCGGATGCGAGGCGAACTGGGCCGGCTACGCGGGGCAGAGGAGGAGGCCAAGAGCAAAGCCATCCAGGTGTCTTCGCTGCTGGAGGAACTGGAGAAGCTGAGGAGGGAACTGAGCGTCACACAGCAGGAGAAGAAGACCATCGAGGACTGGGCGCAAACCTACAGGGACGAAATGGAGAAAGTAAGATGGGATCCACATTCACGCCTGTGTACCTGTTGTTTTGCTGCTCCTCCATTTCTATGTACAGTGTATATACAGTAGTTTGTCAGTTAGAAATGACGGAGATCCAGTCCCAGTTGACAAATTTACTTGCATATTTAACCATTTCCTGGCAAGTATTTAGTGTAGTAGTTTTTTAAAAGCGAAAGTAGGTGGTGTCTTTTCTCTACTCTCCTTAAACCCGTCTCCCCTCCTCCACTTGGTTTTCCAGTTTTAGTGAGGCTGATTATCAAAAGACCTATCATTAGTTTAAGCAGAGGTCAATAGAATTTGGCTCCTAATTTTTAGAACCTTCCATAGTTCCCTGGAAGTACACAGCATATCACCAGATACTGTATTTGCATAAATGTGGATACTGGCATCAGAGGACGTTTTTCCCCAAATCAGGAGATAAGAGGAAACTGGGGGGAAAGAGCACGTGATGAGCTCAGAGGGCAGAGATGCCCCAGGGCAGGTGAGCACATGAGATCCAGAGTAGTGTGCCAGTGAGTTAGCTACTGAACTGTGTTTGTGCTTTGTGTCTTTTTCTTGTTTAGCATTCATCTTCAGTGTCGGCCCTTTACATGACCTGTCCTTAAGATACTGAAGGTCTGAGAACAGTCACACTGAGCAGAGACTGCTTCAAACACTAAGAAACCTATTTGTACACACGTTTTGTTTATATATTTTGATCATGGCCTGTAAGGTCTACAGTCTCAATAACAATGGCCTTATATAAGAAACTTCAGGAGGAAGTTTTCCAAGCAAGATGTTTTCTCTATTGTGTCCCTCCACGTGGAGGTCATTGCCATAGCTAGTCCTGATTCAGCCCTGTAGTAGCAGCGCTCCTTTTCATTTGCTTCAAATATCCCAGGCCTTTCTGAATGTGGAGCAGCTTTTCCAAACCTCTTCAGAAGCTGAAGGGTCACTGTAGTGTGCTAGATGACAAAGAGTATTTCACAATTAAGATTCTTCAAACAAAGTTGTAACACACCGTGTCATTTTGCAGGTGCTCAGGATCAAGTGATCCACAGTATAGACAACACCAGAACAAATCCACACACTGTTCATCACTTGTACTCCCTTTATTGTTGGGCTGTACCCAACTTAGGATTTTGTCAGCCGGCTCTTCACTGCTGCTATTGGACTGTTCCTATATAGCCTGACTGTCAGAAAATCAACTAACATAGACTTCACTGGTGATTTTGGCCACATTAACATTAGTATTCAAATACAAAAGAGTGACTGGACATGTTTCTGAGCATTTTAAAATCAGTAAAGACAGGTGCATATGATGCAGGATTTCAATTGACGACATAACGTCGGGCTGTTGTATGGGTTTGCAGGAATAAGGAGACAGGCAGCACTCTTGTATTTCTGTTGAAACAATGCTCTTATAAGCTGCTGTTTCTGAGACATATAGGCTGGTTTACCAACAAGTTTAAGCTTCTCCAGTCAGTTAACCTCAGCCCATGTTGTTACTCCATTTATAAATTCCTCATTGAAATGTTTTTCCTGCTTTTTGGACTAATCTGTCCGTCGTTTGACAACAGTGTCAGTTATGCCCTGTATAATATGTTTAGAGACAGAGGAGGAGCAAGCGTTGATAAGCTTGAAGCAGGCTCATATAGCCTATTCTTTAGGTTTGCTTGGGCTAGGATACAGTTACCAGCCTGCGGTTTCCAAATGAGGACAGGGTGAGTAGAAAGTGTGTTTTTCCGCCATTGGACCTTCTCAAGGTAACGCGAGGTTTCACATTTAGAAACGATAAGATGTGGTGGTCGCGTCTCTAAAAACGGTTCGCGGTATGTATCGTCATCCATTTGTCTGTAGCCTGCTGCTCGCTACGTATACCAACATTTATACTGCGCGTTTCGTTTGTGCATGTTTGTGTTTGTTTTGAGCATATAACAGTAACCTGCAGTCCAGCCACGTTCAGTGGTCATCAACACGTAAAGTCACGCTGTGCTCCGGGGCGGATCTAGAACACTTTGGGTATTACACCACGCATTGTGTACACTATCAGAAAATACTTTAAGGACCATCCATCCATCCATTCTCCAAACCGCCTAGTCCCAAACGGGGTCACGGGAGGCTTGAGCCAACCCCAGCCAGCTGCGGGCGAAAGGCGGGGTACACCCTGGACAGGTCAGTTGAAATACATGTTAAAAAAAAAATAAAAAAAATAAAAAATATTATGAAACCCCCAGTTCTATGAAATAATAAACCATACATTATTAAGAATAAATTATTTGTTAAAATGATACACAGGGTGAGTTCTTCATCTGTGCTCCTTATTTACGCCTAGCCCCAAAGGTACACCACAACAACACAGTTGGAGGAGGCAACTATCATTCTGCATGCATGATGTAAAATAAAACTAAGCAGCAGAAAATGTTAGTTGGCAATAATCTGTCATAGTTTTTAATTCTTTATTCATTTATACTGGAAAGTGCCACACTTTGGCTCCAGCAGGGATGGCCAATCAGATTCTGGGGTGCTGACACCAGTTCAGGCCCAGAATTTTTCCTTGCTTGAGGTTCTGATAGGAGGTTGGGTTGCTCTGATGAAGGTGTGTGGACCGAAATGTCAACAATAAAGTGATGAGCAGTTTGCAGGATTTGTACAGTTTTTTTCTATACGATTAAGATTGTAACAGTCATCAGCTTTACACAAGATGTGATTTAAAGGATCATTGGTGTGTGTTTAGATGGTCTCAGAGCTGAAGGACCAGAACGGCTTGCTGAAGAAAGACAAGGACGACTTGAACAGGATGATTCAGGAACAGAGTCAGCAGATGACAGGTATGAAAACATCACCAAATTTACAAGTTTCCTAAACCACACAGTACGTTTCTTTTAACTGCTTCCTTTTTATATTTTGTCCCAACAGAGAAAATGACCCGTGCAATAGCCGAGGAGACTCAGCAGCTGGAGACGGATCTGAACGAGGAGCGGTCTCGATACCAGAATCTCCTGACCGAACACCTTCGCCTTGAGGAGAAATACGATGACCTCAAGGAGGAGATTGCTCTTTCCTCGGTAAGAAACACTTACTTAGGAGCAGATAACTTCATTTATCACCACAATCAGGTGTAATTTTTGTTTTAGTAAACTTTAAAAAAAAACAGTCAGTAAATTTATTTTATGCATTATGTCATATTTCTCAAAATCAAGTTTGGTTTACCATCTCACAAAAAACAAATAGTAACTTTTGGCTCATCTTAGCATCTACATGCACAACAACAGAAAGGTCATTGTTTTCTGATGTTGGTGTCATATTGTTGTTTTTTTGTTTTTTTCCTTCTTTGCTCTGAAGAACGTCTCCAAGCCTGGCCACAGGAGAACAGATTCTACCCACAGCAGCAACGAATCAGAGTACACCTACAACTCGGAGTACACCGAATTGGAAGAAGGTTCCCGTGCCGGCGACGTAAGGAACAAGGCTTTAAATATATCCCTTTAATGAAATGAAAATCCAGCAATGTGGTTTCTACTATTACAAAGTTACTACTGATCTTTCAGTGAAACACAATACTGAAGTCAGGAAGAATAGATTTGAAAATGGAATTTTATTTCATTATTTTCACTTTGTTTTATTGTAGTTTTTATAGCCTTTCATTTAAGCACTGATATTTCAATTCTTTTTATGGGGCAAATGCTTCCTAACATTCCCCTGTCATGCAGGAAGTTATTCGAGGAATAGACACCTCGCTGACCCTCAAGCTGCAGAAACGTCTCACAGAACTGGAGCAAGAAAAGCAATCTCTGCGCGACGAGCTGGAGAACAAAGAGGAACAGTTCCAGCGGGCTAGAGCCAGGGTACTGACGTGGAGCCACACAGAGCTCTGGAACAATAACAAGTTATTTAACACTGATATTATAGACCTCATTCTGGTGTGTTAACCCAGCTAAGGTATTGTTAACATACAGTAATTCTGAGATAGTACCTTGTGAAAAGTTTTCTAATACCATAATGGACACAAATAAGAACAATCACTTTTTTAAAACATTTTCCATGTCTCTTTCAATCTAATAGGAGCCTTTACATCATTATGTAATGTAGGTGCTTTACTACCTAATAAAGTTTTTACATAGGAAACAATGTATTTGCTAAACTGCCATGGTTTTATCCAGCTCTGGGGGATATTTACTAAGGCTTTGCAGCTCATTTTCTGGCACTAAACAGTAAAATTGCATGTGTTCATATTTACTAAGGAGTGGCTGTAGGGTTTTGTGCCAGAGAAGCAGAAGGAAAGCAGCACCACACTACATCAATTTGTGTGTTTGGTCTCATGCTATATATATTTTAAGGCGTTCCTGTTCAGGGATGCAAAAATCGGGGCAGGCAATGGAAATTTATACGCATACCCCCACCTGATTTACCACCACTACATCAGACTGAATTGTGGCTGAAATTGAACATCAGGAGAAAGCAGGTGTAAAGTTTGCAGCCCTGTTGTCAGCGTGGCAGCTGTTTGTCATCTGAGACCTTGTTGAGAACATGTTTGAGGAGGGAGAGGGTGTTTGTAAATGGTATCGCTTGCCACAGGAGAATGTGAGGGACTTTTACAGGTTTTCAAATCAAACCATGCTTCAGTTACTGAACAAAATAAAAGACAAGTTGACTGGCAGGAGACTATGAGATTGAGTTCCGATATATGGGTGTTGATTTCTTCAACCATATTAAAGTTCTGTCGCTGCAAACACACACTTTTCAGCTGTCCTTCGTGGTCTGTCCGTGTGTGGGCCACCATCAGTGAAGGTAAATACACCACAAAATTGAAAAACTGCGGTGCTCCAGTATTTTCTGCACATGATGGTGATTTGCAACAGGTTTAGTAAATATCCCCCTCTGTATTAAAGTGTGCTGCATTATGTATTACACACTGTATCCAAATCCAGCAGGTTTCATTATCACCTTTTTCTTTCAGGATGATGCAGAGTTTAAAAAGGCTCGTGGAGCCGAGCTGGAGTACGAGTCCCTCAAGGTAAGCTGTCATACGAGAAAGTAGAAATGAAAACACTAACACATTTTCTGCCACTGGCTCCAGGGTTGATTTGATCCAAAGCCAGAAAACTCATTTTATTACAGTATCTTGGGCCATAGTTTCAGAAAACCTCATTTGCCTTGTGTTATTTTGATCCCTAACACTGAACACTTTCATTTCTCAGCGTCAAGAGCTGGAGTCCGAGAATAAGAAGCTGAAACGTGACCTGGGAGAGATGAGGCAAAGCCTACTGGGTGATGCAGCTGCAGGCACCGGGGCTCCTGGCTCCCCAGCTTACAAGGTACTGTTGGACCAGCTCAATGCGGCCTGTGAGGAGCTTGAGGTCCGTAAGGAGGAGGTGCTGATCCTGCGCTCCCAGCTTGTCAGCCAGAAGGAAGCAATGCACCACAAGGTAGAGAACAGCATTTCATTTCCTTTGTGTCATCAGCGTCCAGAGAGAGAGAGTCAGAAACGGCCTAGTGTTCATCTGTAAACACCCACAGAGATGAACCACATGCGCTCTGTCATCACACGGTGTCATTGTTCTTCCAAAAGAGTACCTGTGCCATGTGTCAGAGTTCATAACTGTGAAGCTACATATCTGTGGATGGTGCCCTACCTTCTCACAAGTTGTCTTCTCACCCCATTCAGCTTCTCTGTTTGTTTGTTTGTTAACTCAAAATGTGACAAAGGAGTCAGGATGAAGTCTCCTTTGGCCTAAAGATCAGTTTAATTCCATTTTGACAAAACTTTAATATTCAGTGAACTTCCCTGTTAGCTTAGCAGCGTTCATGTCCCAATGACAAATGACCAACTGTTTCTTGACTGACATTTGAACTCTGAGTGCTTTTTGTTAGTTTTTTGGGGTAAAATCAGACTGAAACCAGATCATTGTTCACACAGTATGATGATAGATTTTCACTGTACCTTCAGTCTGTCTGACTCTCCTGTCTCCACCTTCTCTCCTCCATTTATGCTTACCCACAGGATGAAAAGGTACAGTTAAAAATTGCATCACAGACACTTTTTCAATTCCTGTGTGTAAAACCTCCTTGGGCAAGAAATGTGTTCCAGCAGGATCAATATGTGTTGCTGCCTCAGAGAAATTAAGTCAAATATATACTACTTGGAAGCATTTTCTATGCACGTCTCACACCTGCCTTGCACTGCAGATAGAATTCCATTATGTCAAACGAGTCAGTTCACACTGAATCCATGAGATGCACATCTCCGCGCCACTTACATCTCATTTCCATAGTGTTTTACCAGTTACTATTGACTGTTCTGGAAATGGTGCAGCTCCTGCCACCACTGCTCGGATCATTGTTCAGTGGATTTACCATTAATACATAAGACCTTACAAAGCAGCTCTGAAGTGCCTTGTATTTGTGATGGTAGTTTTGTGTTTTGTTTTGATTGTTTGCCTTTTTTCAGTGCTGTACAAGGGTCATATTGTGATTTTTAAGGCTTAACTTTTCTTGGAAGACACTTGGTCCTGTCTCTCTGTTGCCACATCTCATACTGTGAGAAATGAATTTCTTGAGTGCAATTTTAGGAAAAATGGTTAGAACAAAAAATGTAATGCTCTTGTTTATAGTCCAATAATTAACCCACAGGAATTTTCATTATTAACTTGAATCCACAACAGAACAGGGTGCTGAATAATGTCTAAAAGTGAAACCCTTCAAGCCTGGGAATAACATGGTATGAGATAATAATCAGTTGATCTGTTGCTCTGTGGCCAGTAAATAATGTCAATTATTTATTCACACAACACTAATTCACTTTCCAACGTTCAAAGACAGTGATCGTTGCCTCCCAGCTGTCACATGTGCCCTGGTCAAGCACTTTCAACACAAGTGACCTTCAGCACATGTTACTGACACCCAGAAAAAGTGGCCATCTCTGTGAAAGTGATATTGATCAGAGATTGTCGGCGGTCGCTCAGCCCTCTTTTGATGGCCTGTCAGTGACTGGCTGATGATTGTTAGAGTGAAAGGACAGTCATAGCCAGCAGCTATACTCGTGAACTCGCATTAATGAAACTGTTACTCGCTTGTCTTGAGTCATAGAATGATCCTATATGAAAATCCCCATAGTCATGGTGATGATGTGATTCACAGTATGATGCAGTTGTAGCAGCCTGCTTGCTCTGTAAATGTGGTGTTATTCTTTCTCAGTCATCCCTCTTTTCAATATCCCCAATATCCTCTCTCTTTTTTCCTAGGAGACCATGACTGAGCCATCTGTCTATGCTGATGTATCCAAACTGAAGGACACTGATGAACTCAAGCAGGCTTATATAGGCCTCAAAGACACCAACAGGTACTTTGTTACAGCCGGTAATCTTCCCAGTGTCCATGTCTTTGCTTCCATCACACTCTCCTCTAAGCCCTGACTCCTTCAGATTAAACTTACTCAGCTCTAATTCCACTGTAAACATGACGCCTGTGTGTGTGCATCAGGGTGTGTATGCTTGTCAACACTTCTTTGTCATGTACAGATCTCCTAGGTTCATGTGTAAGCCGCTGGAAGTCAGTGATCTCCTGAGTAGGCTGAGGTAACTGTGGGGACATGGCCTATGCATCATGGAACAGAGCATGCATGGCCACGCTGTCGCTCAGCAGAGTTGAGAAATGTTCCAAAGACTGGTCTCGTTCAACTCATTCCACGTTGTAGTGCCGGTCAAAGCTTGAGGAACTTGGCGTAGCATTTTCTGCCCTAACAGCATGACGAGTAATGCAGCAGATCTGGCTCCAGTTTAGGTCTAAATGTGTGCTTATGCTATTCACTGAATGTGTTTGGCTTTCATGTTAGCTTCTATGTTTGTAGGTCTGCATGGGTTTTAATAGTTCAGCATGGATTAGATCATAGGCTCCTAAAGTGAAGGCAATCAAAGTTGTTTCTGTTTTCCCACTAAAAATGAACATGATGTTTTCGGTTTCGACAGCTCCGGTCCGTTCTGGAGATGCTGCTGATCTCCATATTTACAGTGCAATAGTTAGAAGAGCCATTCAGTGGAATGAAAGCATGGAAGTGTCAGAGTTAATAAAGATACACCTTTCAGTTCTAGTTGAACTCATAACATGGCTGTGCAGCAGTGAGGCTGCAGTTCTGTTGTAAGAGCCCTCCTGTCTCAGCTGTGTGGAATGAGTTTGGCATGAATGCTACATGAAATGACCCACTTACTGTGTGCTTTTGTTTGTTATACTGTAGCAGAGATGCACAACACACTTTTAAGGAAGAATTTCTTCATTCACACTAAAAGGTTGTGCTAGTGCCTGCCGTGTTTCACAGATTCATTCCATTTGTTAAATCCACTTTCCTCTGTGCTCATCTCATTGGCTTAACTGAAAGAATACATACGTGGTTACCTACTACAGTAGGTAACTAACAGCAGACAGACTAGTGTGAATGTCTGTTTGTAAGCAGCAACACTTTAATTAAAGCAATGTGCGTTTGCATTGCAACTCATTAGAGCTTTCCAGAAAGTTGTCCTGTGCATCACTGCGTTTCTCCCTCCATTACTCCCACGTTGCCCCTTCTGTTGGTAGTCACCTTCTTTGTTCACCCACTGACATTCGATTCATTCAGTAGATTTCAGTAAAGGCAGTGTAGTGTAAAATACAGCTAGTGTAAGTGTATAGTAGAAAATATACAGTAAACAGCATGTGTGTGCAGTGAAGCAATCAGTTGGTGTCAGCATGATTAAAACTAAAAGGCAATTATGGAAGGAATTCATATAGACAGTTACATCGCAGATATAAAAGTTTTCCCTTTTAAGGGAAGTTTCATGGATAAAACAAATTAAGAGCCACCAAAACATAGAAACATTCAGATTAAATAAAGTAGGCATAATCCCATTCACCCTGTCCTGCACCCCCACCCCAGCCCCTTCCAGTCATCCCACATTTTCTTTTGTTGTTATGTTGTTCATGTGCCTTTTGTGTTGTGTGTCGGTCAGATCTGCTGCTCCAGACTTCCATCAGCTGAATGAGGACGGAGAGCTGTGGCTGGTTAATCAGGGCTTAAAGGAGACCATCAGGTGTTATTGTGTTTCAAACACAAGTGTCATTTTGAGCATGATTTGTGCTGCCGTGTTTCTTCATTCACATCTGTTCTCCGTCGTGCTCTGCCTAGCTGTTAGTTTTCTCTCATATCGGCCATTCTCTGTTTATTGTGTCTGGCTGAACGGTCGTCCACTTCTGGAAATCAGGGCTGCTTGTCACTAATGGACTAATCAGGATATTTTACAGCTGGGTTTATGCTACTTTTATTTCATAAACTAAAGACACTGGCATTTTCAACTACGTCCAATAAACCTACAACCACTCTAAAGCTAATGTACTTTGTTTTATGAAACAGCACAGACAGTAAATAAGTTTGGCGTTTCAGAAGTTTGCATTACATATAGTCAACTGCGGAACCAACACTGTTTTTGGTACAACAGAAGAAGCAGTTTTTAATTTTTTTTTTTTAACACGCTCGTATAGGACATTACAGGGTTGTTTCCATCCCACAAGATATAATGTACAGTCATTTATAAAAGGCTTTGATCTGATCTTTGTTGGTTTAGTGGCGGGTAATTCAACGTCCTCCTGCTTCTACTAGTGTTTGAAAATGTTTGTGCAGCTCACTTACTGATTACAAGTAGTGCAAATCCAGAATGAAAAACACTTCTTCCTCATATTTAAAACTAACTTTAAGGATTCAACACAAACACTACTAAACTTGGATGGGATGACTTCTTCATCTTAGACTGTTACTGTCCATCTTTACTTATTGCCTTGTCAGTGAATTACAGATAGAGGGAAGAAACATAGGAGTTTTCTGAGAATTTAGACATTTTCTTTCTGTAATGTTAATAGGTGGAAGTCGTGGGGCCTGATTTATGTCAAGTTACCAAAGTAGTGTTAAAGAGCTCCATGAATCCTTTGGGAAGCAATACACTGATCCCGTGTCAGCTCTACCTGCTCTGATGCCGAGTCTGATGTCTGACCACAGCGATGGCTCGGTTTAACTTGAAACAAGATGAAGGTTAATGGGACAGCAGAATAAAGGCAGTTTTCAGTAAGGCTGAGCTCTGGGCTGCTGGTAGTCTGCACAGCACGTTGCTGTCCTGCATCAACACACTGCTGTGAAAACCTCAACTTCTTGTCATTCCCTCTCACTGTTTCTCAGACACTAATGCTGATTCTTTTTCCTCTTTCCACCCATTGTCTTTTTATTCATTTTTCCTCTCACTTCCTCTCACCTGCCACATTCTCCCTCCGCTCCCTTCGTCTCCTGTCATAACCCCTTCCTTGCTTCATCTCTTGTACGTTTTTCCTCCTACTCCTTTCTTCTTCTTCCCCGTCTGCTCTCATCTCCCTCCCCACTGCCTGTACCCCCAGGTTACTGGAGCACCAGCTGCAGACTCAGCGGAGAAGTTACGATAATGAGGTGGAGGTGTTGCGTGGCGAGCTGCAGAACGTCAAGGAGGAGAACAACCGTCAGCAACAGCTTTTGGCCCAGAACCTGCAGCTGCCTCCAGAGGCCCGAATCGAAGCCAGTCTGCAGCATGAGATCACCCGGCTCACCAACGAGAACCTGGTACACTGCAGCACACACACATATATGCATGTAGGTTGAGGAGGAGGAGTTTCTTCAGTTTCAGTTTATTTAAAGTCTCTGTCTCTGTAGAGGTTAAAACATAAACATCAGACACAGCAGTGAGACCTCATATGTACTAACGCCCACACAAGGGCAGAATCTCAGCAGGTAACATGGTTAATATAACAGAATTAAGATAATGTATCAATGTAGGAATAGAATACAGTACTAATAAAGTTGGTATGGCAAGATACCAAATCCTGATTAGTCCTCTTTTGTGGTGTGTAGGTCATATAAAGTTAAAGATGGGTAAATGTGCAGCGATGCTTTTTGCACTGTAGGTTTAGCTGAGTGCAAAGTCACTGAGCAATAATAAATCACTCTGGTGTCTTTAAACCAGAATCTGCTTCACAACACACACACACACACCCTTCTCCACACATATACTCAGATAGTCTTGTAAGTGATAGATTATTTGCCGTATCCACTGTAGAACTCAGACTGACACTCACAAACACTCATTTGGATGGTGTCACCTGACAGGAACTCATGGCTGACGACCCCACAGCATCCAGAGAGGCTCGAGTCATCATTTTACGACGGATGGTTGTATGTAGAGACGGCGTGTGTTTGCCTCTTTGTGTGTACTAATCTGAGGTTGCGTGTTCTGAATGAAGCGGCACTGAATGTCGGTCTAACTCTCTACGGCAGTGTCTTCTGACTCACAGTGGAGCAGCTCTGCACCATGTTCTCTTTCTAACAGCCAACAAGTCCTGCAGCTTCTCTTCCTCTGACAAAACAATCAGCACAGCAACTTTGACCTTGATTTAAAATCCCCTCTGCCTTTTTCCTCGTTTTCCAAGACAGAGGTCAATGAACTTACATGTTTTATTTAATTATATAAAAATATTTCATTAAACATAATTGTCACCAGCTGTTAACAAGGCTTCAATAATTAATCTACACAAGTTCTGTTGCAATAACCTTCATTACGTTTTGGGCCTTTTGGTTTCTCAGACCAGGTTGAAATCCTGGCCTCTCCAGTCTGTTTTACAGAAGTGTTGCTTTTTACCACTGGAGGGCGACAGTGTGAAGCGGCCTGAGTCAGACAAAGCTTGCCCTTCTCCTCACTATTCTGTCTTGTCTTTTTCTCTGTCTTCCCTTCTCTCCATCACGCCATCCGGTTGTCTGTTGCAGGATCTAATGGAGCAGCTAGAGAAGCAGGACCGAACCATCCGCAAGCTCAAGAAGCAACTGAAGGTTTACTCCAAGAGGATCGGAGAGATGGGAGGTACGGTACAAATTGTCATTCAGCAAAGGTGCTGAGAAAGCTGTCTTTTAAATTAGCTATGTTGGCTAACTGGTATGTGTCTTGTGTTTCACAGCGGGTCAGACAGAGGGCCAGACGTCTCCGGGACAGATGGTGGAAGAGCCCATCCACCCTGTCAACATTCCCCGCAGGGAGAAAGACTTCCAAGGAATGCTGGAGTACAAGAAGGAGGATGAGCTCAAACTGGTCAAGAACCTCATCCTTGGTGAGAATACATGTAACACGTGATAAGGATGTAAAATATCAACAATACAAAAATCTATGGCTGCAGTTTAACAAACCACTAACACTGAAACTGTTTTGGAATTAACTTTATTAATAATATGCCCATTCTGCTGCAGCTTTGTCTCACAGTAACGGTAGAGGAAATAATCAGTGAAACTGGAACATCATTTCAGAATGAGGTGTTCATTGGCTATCCACCCTCCTCAGTCCGTCACTGAACTCATTTCTCTTCTGTGTGCAGAGCTGAAGCCTCGTGGTGTAGCTGTGAATCTGATCCCAGGTCTGCCGGCCTACATCCTGTTTATGTGTCTGAGACACGCCGACTATGTCAATGATGACCAGAAGGTCCGCACTCTGCTCACCTCAACTATCAACACTATTAAGAAGATCCTAAAGGTATGTGTGGGTGTGTCAGTGGACGTCATATAAAAGACAGGCTGACTGATGGCAGTCCTACAGAGGGAGGAGTTTGGGAAGACCTTCACTAAGTTCAGTAGTTTGGGCTTGAATGTACATGGCCCTTGGTCATGTATTGCTTGGAAAGAGAGTGTTGAGTGATGTTTGCACATGATTAATGGTACTGAGTGAAATTATCCCTGGCTGGAGTCGGTCCTGTTGCAGTCCACACACCTGTATCATTATCTTTCCACACTCCACTGGTGATAAAAGATGCTTTTTGTCATATGGGGGGAAAAAAAACTTGCTGCCTTTCAGAAAGTTGCAGGACAGTATGAATGGGAGAGGGTCTGACAGAGTTACAGTACCACTGTGTGACTGACTGCTCGGTGTTCTTCCTCTCAGAAACGAGGAGACGACTTTGAGACCGTCTCTTTCTGGCTGGCCAACACCTGCCGCTTCTTGCACTGTCTGAAACAATACAGCGGCGATGAGGTGAGGTTGACTGTAGTCTCCTGTTTTATTTTATGATTCATTCAATATTATTTTGGTTCCTTTTTGTGTGTTAAGCTTTAGAAAGTATCATAATTTACACAGATACTATATATTATAAATTGGAGATTGATTATTTTCATTGTTGAGGCATAAACTTTAGTGAATTATTGCCACCCTGGTTAGACACACACTAACCTGTACCTGCCCGTGTCTGTGTCCCAGGCCTTCATGAAGCACAACACCTCGAGACAAAATGAACACTGTCTATCCAACTTTGACCTGGCAGAGTACAGACAGGTGATAAGTGACCTGGCTATCCAGATTTACCAGCAGCTGATCAAATGCATGGAGAACATCCTCCAGCCCATGATAGGTGTGTGCACATCTGAGTCTATATACAGCCTAATGCTACTGTGGTACTGATAGTATGATAAGAGGCACAGCTTGTTTTGTACTGTATATGGGCATGTATTTGCCTGTGTGCTTGATACAAATACTTACCATGTGTGTCTGTTCCCTGTAGTCTCCGCCATGTTGGAACACGAGACCATCCAGGGTGTTTCTGGGGTGAAGCCCACAGGTCTCCGTAAACGGACGTCCAGTATTGCTGACGAGGGCACCTACACTCTGGACTCCATCCTGCGGCAGCTCAACGCCTTCCACTCCACAATGTGTCAGCACGGCACAGACCCCGAGCTCATCAAGCAGGTGGTGAGGCAGCAGTTCTACATCATCGGCGCAGTCACCCTCAACAACCTGCTGCTACGCAAGGATATGTGCTCATGGAGCAAAGGCATGCAGATCAGGTAGGACACATTTCTGCTGTGAGAGAAACTGCAGAGTGGAGCTGGTGGACCTGATGTGTTTATTCGTCAATTTATTTTTTGTGCTTTGTTTGACCACTGTGGTGATTCTAATGACGATGATGTGTAGGTACAATGTGAGCCAGCTGGAGGAGTGGCTCAGAGACAAAGGTCTGATGACGTGCGGAGCCAAGGAGACTCTGGAGCCTCTGATCCAGGCCGCTCAGCTGCTGCAGGTGAAGAAGAAGACTGACGAGGACGCCGAGGCCATCTGCTTCATGTGCCATGCTCTCACCACTGCTCAGGTAGACCATCCTGACATTCACTACAACACATTCAGATCATCCTACTTGGTGCTGGGCCATCTCTGAGCTAAACGCTCCATTCACAGCCTTCTTCCATGCCAGTTAAGCATCTCTGGCTTTTCCTAAAGTCATTTATGAAATCAGTCTTTCTACACTCTTGGTATTTGTAGCTTACTATAAAGAAAATGTTGGTAATGTTGGGCTGACCTTTCTGTATTACATAACTTTCAGATTGTGAAGATCCTGAACCTCTACACTCCAGTCAATGAGTTTGAGGAGAGAGTGTCAATTACATTCATACGAACCATCCAGGTAACTTACTCTAGATGTATTCGTACAGCACTGCTTTCTTGACGTATTGTTTATTAAGAACATGACCATTCCTGGAAAACACTTTTTCCAGTAATTCACAACACTGTAAAAAAACTGTATTTGTCATTTATTTGCATGTTTTGCCCCACTTGCTACAAAACTGATGAACCTTTGTTGTGTCTACCACAGTTTTTCTGATCAGATCATAGTGATTTTTATATTTTTAATGCCTCTTCCTCTCTCCAGACTGTCATTGTTCTTGGCATTTTACTTTGTTATAGAAGTTATAAAGCAGTGCACATTTCAAATCAAATCAGCAACTGCACTATCATGCTGTGATAAGGTAACTTGTGTAACAATGAAAGCAGGTGTGATGCTTTTTATAATGAATTACCTGAAAGAATAAGACTTCAATGTTTGGAAGCCTCTCAGTACATACTTAACTTTTCTTCCATGGTATTAAGAGTACTCCTAAACAGCCCTGAGCAACCTCTGACCCGGGCTCAGGAGGTAGAGCAGGTCGTCCCCTAACAGTAGGGTTAGACCCCAGGTTCTCCAGTTCCCATGTCGAAGTGTCTTTGGGCAAAACACTAAACGCCAAGTTGCCCCAGTGGCCATCACCATTGTCGTTGTGAATGGGCAAATATTGTAAAGCACTAGAGTATGTAGAAAGCACTATAGAAGTACAAATCCATTCACCATTACACAGAAGGCAACTTTTTTAGCAAAGCTTACACCATCAGAATGAAGCTAAAAATTCTGCACCTGGGCAACAATAAAGAAATTATTTAAAATGCAACCTCCTGATAGTAAAATAACACCAGTGTTCACCTTCCTCTAAAATTTGAACTGGCCCTTTTCCTGCAAATGAAATTGGAGTGTTAACTGTTTCCACTCTTCTTTTTCCCTTCAGACTCGCTTGCGAGACCGTTGTGAGAGTCCCCAGTTGTTGATGGACACGAAGATGATATATCCAGTCACCTTCCCATTCAACCCTTCCTCCCTCGCCCTGGAGACCATCCAGATCCCCAGCTCGCTCAACCTGGGGTTCCTCACCCGTGTCTAATCCAAACCCCACTGGACAACTCTAAGCCCTGCAGTGTTTTGGGCTTAGTGGCCCTTTGAAGTGCAAGTCACGTGATATCCACTGGCCCCAAAAGATCATACAAACCAGTCACTGCAAGAGAAATAAATACATTTTGCTGAGCATCACAAACACTTCAAATTAGTATTAACATAATTTGAGCAATTGCTTCCAAATAATTGGATCTTTTTTTTTTTCTGGTCTCCAGTTCTCTTAAATATCCCTGATCTAAACCTGGACATGAACACATGCCAATCTAAACACACAAACCTCACCATATGCAGAACTCGTACACACATACACCCACTGAACCTACACATGCACGCCTACACTTAGATACACCTTCTGTCTTACAGAAACGCACAATGAACACAGCACCCACAGTCGCTGCAGCTGGTTTGAATCTGACTGTAAGACGCCATTATCCATCTACTGCCTGTATAAACGCCTGCCTCCTAGAGAAGCCACAGGACCTGATCAATCCGTCAGCACCTGGGTCTGTCTTAGCGATAAGGACCCAGGTTACCCCAGCTCCTTCTTCTGTGTTTCAGCTCATGGTTAAGGTAGTTCTTGTCATCATCTCATTCTTCAGTGACAGTATATGTACCGGTACACGAGAACAGGCCCGAAAGGAGGGAATAAGACCTTGTGACAAGGAATTACTTGGCCACTCATAGTCTAGCTTAATATGTTGGGTTGGTACTTAATAGGGAAGGTGAATTCTGAGTCCTAGTCTGAAGCTAACAGCGATTCCATGCCAGTGTGTGCATTCTCTACCCCGTTTTGATGTAACCATGAACCAGGTCTCGTTCTGTATGGTCATTATACACACCGAACACAGTCGAGCCAAGACAGAGCTCATCATCTGTACTATATTATTTATACATATATAAATATGAATAATATATATCACATATTTTATTTATTGCATTTACCTTTATCCCCTACCTTTTTTTGTTTTGTTTTTTTTTTAAGATAAGGAGCTTTCTCTCTGCAGAACATCTGTTTGATATGAAGGATGGGGCCGTCATTTCCCAAGATGAACAGCTTTGTAAAGACAGTTTTAGTTCCACTGTAGGCTATTTATGTCAGTATCAGCTAAAGGATGTAGTATAGTATAACGAGTGCTGGCACAGATGAATATTTGTTAGGTCACATCTTAACTTAGAAAGAAATGCTGCTTTATTATTATATCCTGCATTTCTGGCAGATGCTGTGTAGCACAGGTTTTAACTGAGAGGATATTTAGACGGTACAAGGTTTAAACTCTGCCCAGGGTTTAACCTGCTACAGTCCATACTGTTTACAGCTGTAGCCAGAGGTGAGCGTCACAAGAAACACTGGCACAAAGACACTCACACATAAACATTACAGTACGGACATTTACACTTAACTGCTTACTGCTGTATCACCAGGGGTTTCACACTCCTCGTACTTTCTTCACCCACTGTCTTCTCTGGTCACCGCTCTTTTCAGAGCTTTGACAATGTTTTACTATCAGCATCGAGTCATTTATTTCAGTATAGTAATTTTCTTAGGATTATGTATATGGTAAAGCCATGTGTGACAGGAGCATAGAGAGAGAAATGGCCTCTCTGAAGTTGGTTTTGAGCATTTTGTTTCTGGCCTTACAACAGCTTTCTCTGCTGTATTCTCACACTAACATGAAGTGCAGCTTTGTGTCCCGATTCCCCTGGCGTCTCTTACCTGCCCCTGCTGTCTATGCTGTTCTGTTAGTGGACAAGAGAGCGGCTTTCAAAGGGGCGACATCGCTCCACACTCATCACTCAGTCAGTATGACTGCAGTGTGGTATGACGTGTACAGCATGCACTGCTGCCCTCATCTGATCTGCATGGACTTGGCTCTACCTGAATGATCAGATATCAGAAAGTAACACACATGCAGCTGCTGGCTTTTTTACACCATAAACCTGATGTACTCATGGAATGAGTGTTAGGGAATCTGCCCATTGTCCTTTGTCTGTGTTAAAATTGTCCTCGCTGCCTGATATTTAGCACTTTTGTTTACTTTCTGTTTTGCCATTAGCATTAACAGTCTACCAGATTTGCCTCTTGCCCTCACGTGAACCTTATTTAGTCTACTGGCCTCATCCAGTGTCATTTCACCTTGATAGAAATGTTTTACGGTCAGTAGGAGGTTGTGAATGGTCACCAAAACTGGACCTTTTTTATTGAAATGATTCTTATGAAGCAACAAACTAATCTTACTGTAGCGAGAGTCTGGGAAATGCTGAGATATCACATACATCACTCTGACAGGAACAAGCTACTAATGAAAACAAGCTAAGTGGTGTAAAGAGAAACTAGTCTGAAGCTGTTTAGTGTTGCAGGTGTATTTGAAAATGGTTTGATACCCTCTCATTGGGACCATTAAGTGTCCTTTGGTTATGTTGGCAGGACTAAAGTATGGTCTGGGTAAAGAGTACATACCTGAAGAGAGAGACTGTAACTCAAAGGAGTAATTAACCATATGAATGTTTAATAATGTAGTGTATCATGATTTTAGCTGCACATTATGGACAAAGCCTTACCTGAATTATTTATCTGAATGACTTACACGATCAGCTTTGTGACATTGCAGTATTTTTTTCCCCATTCTGAATTGTTAAATGTGATTTTTATTTTGAGGAGGTGTCCTTTTGTCCTACAAATGGGTTGTGGTCAAAATGCATTTTTGAAGTTAGATGAGTAATAGATGAATATGGACTGTGAAAAGCAATGCTTCACATTCCCTGTGTTTTCTTTCCCCTGTGACCTGTTCACCTTCCTCTGCCACATTCCCTGTATCGATTGGACACTTCTTGGTAATCACTGGTTTTTCCTGCTGTTTTATTCAAATATCAGATAATGCAAGCCATGGGTAGGAACTGATACAGCACCAGCCTTCTCTGAATCAAAGCTATTGAGGACTGATGTATTGAGAGCGTAGAGTGGGAAGGTTTGCCGAATCACAGGAGAAGTGTTTGATATTGCTGAGCAGAGCTGTGGCATCTTGTTCCCCTGGGCTCTGAAACTGGAGAAAATGTCATTCCTTCACTCTGCATTTTCACATCAAGGAGAGAGTTTGTTGTATGATATGACATAGACATAAATTACCATTGTTCTTATCAGCACTAGTGTTGATTGTGCCATTTCAAACACTGGTTAAAACAGAAGATATATCAACACTCCAGCTGTTGTGGTACTGGTGTGAACACGCTGAAGCCAGCACCAAAACGTTTCCTCTTTAAACCCATCTGTACGTTTGACAAACTGGACTGTTTGTAGTTTCTGGTAGCTGTGCATAGTGAATGTGTTCACTGTTAAGAAACTTGGAATAAATTATCAAATCTGTGAAAGTAAAATAAAAGAATTCAGCACTGTTGGATTGTCTGTGGGCGATTCAGTCCCCCTCCCCAGGTGTGTTAAATACTTTAAGGCTATGCAGTTCATTCAGATGTTGTGTTTTAGTTTCTTGAACCCAAATGCAGACAACCAATTGAGAGGTGAACAGGTGATTTAATGGCATAAAAGAACTATTGCACAGAACGGACAAGTAGCACGGTCTAGCAGGAGAACAGGTGAGTATAAACACAGAAGACAACTGGGGAGGTACTTGACTCAGGTAGGTTACTGGTAAGTATATTCACAGGATGTACCTAAGCTGGATCTGGTCAGGATGGCATGAGACAAACTGCCAAAAGAAAAGTACCTAACGAGAAACGGCCAAAGAATCGTGACATCAAATAAATAAAAAACAGTAGCAGAAAACTATACCAATATCAAATGTAAAGTATAATGAAACTGTCTAATTCCTGCAGGTTCAGAGACAGTATAAGACCAAATCACTGCAGGTAATCGGCGCACAAATCGGATTACAACATAAATATGGTACAAAAATTAGAAAAAATATGGTTGTTGTTGTAAAACATGATATTCAGCCTTCTACTGTAATTCATTTGGATTAGATGGCGTCCGTAACCTTCCAGGCTGAGCAGGTACAGGAATGTAAGAAGCAGAGGAGGCTCACAGTTTAAACGCTTGCCTAAGGAGCTTACAGTTCCTTTTCTCTCCCTCGCTGACAATCCTCTTCACTGGAAAAACTCTGTTCTCCAGGGACAAATACCTGCTGCACGGAGAGAAAAACAACTTCTCTTGTGAGGTAAGATCTCAGCTCACAAGTGGTGGTGTATTTTGTGTTACATATAGGTTTAAGTCAAAAATCTGTTGTATGAAAATAGATTTTACAGAAAATGACAAACCATTTGATGGTGCAGATTTCAATTTTTCTTAATGCTTTTTTTTTTTTAATATATATACGAAACCTGATATTTTTCTAAATGGTAAGTGACATGTTCACTTACAATCACAAAGTTTGGAGCCTGTTAAAAGGCAGAAATTCAGTCTCTTAAAATGTTTACTGACATTTTACCAAATGCAGTAGAACACAGTGAAGAAAACTGCAGTCTGTCTCATAAGATACATTCTGTTTATATCGTCAAATTTTTAATTAGAAAAGTTACTGCCTCTTATAAAGTTACAGTACACATACGGTAGTGAGAAAATGTAGATATGAAATGTAAATTGCTGTTGGATTTTGATGACTTTAGAAACTGTTCGTGTGCTGCATCATATTTTGAGTGTGTGCTAGATTTGTGCAGCTCCCAGAATAGCCACACTGCACGCTGCTCTCCAGCTCAGAGAGGAATCAGGCTGGAGCAGATTACCAACTTATCTCCCAGCCCACACACAAAACAGGTCAAGTGGTCACAAAAATCTTAAGGGCCTCAGTCAAAACAAAACAGTCTCCACCCTGCAGCTGATGGCTGACTGCATTCATCTATATGTTTGTTTTTTCTTTCCCCACAGGCGTGTTAGTGATCAGCTATGTGTGACCAGACGTTCATGGCAGCCACTTTTGGCCCTTGTGACAGCTGTGGGAAGACTGGGCCTCTAATGAACATCTACATTAAGAATGAGCCCGTTAACTATTGCTCCTTCTGTGTGGAAGTGGTACGTAATGTTTTCCTTTTGGTTTGCCATCATGAAACAGCTGCTGCATTGCAAACAGTGGAAATGTTTGTAGTCTAAAAGCTGTTTGGAATCACTTATTTTGTCATGTCACGAGGATACAGGGGGATTCTTCTCTCATGTTTATCTCTGAACATGCAATATATGGTGATAACAGCAGATTGTGAGGCAGCTGGTGGTTAAACCAAGTACACACTGCTCAGTAGCACCTTTGTTAATGTAACTGGAAACCTGCTCGGGTGGTACGTGCATACACACACAGGAAGTCATGAGGCAGAAGAGATGGGTTCGTGCCTCCTGATCTTTCTCTAAGAACACCCTTATTTTGCTGCTCACCTGTGGTAGCACACAAACCTGAAAACTGCAACAATTCTTTTTTGTCCCATTTCCCTTCAGATTAGATTTAAATGTAGATTCAAATTTTTATGATCACTAAATTGAGTCAGTCAAATTTGTCAGAGAAAGAGGGATTATTTTAAACTGCCTGGTTCACCTACAGTGTCTTGGACGTGTCTATGCATTCATGTTTTTAATTTCAGGCAAAACATTGCTATTCTAAGCATTCATCTGCAGAAACTGTTTCATAAGCCATAATGCTACTGTGTCATTACTGAACCAACAGGGGGTGGCCATGAAAAGACCAAAATGAACAACATTGTCCAACTTCTGCAGCTTGGCTGTGGCTCCATCCCAGGTCTTATTTCTTCCTGCTATTGGAAAACAGGTCACAAATACGTATATGTTGCCGTGTCCCCCAGTGCAGTGGTGTGGCTCACTAATGTGTTTTTGAAAAACACAGCTCTTTGGCTACACAGACAGACAGCAGGCCTTGTGAGTGGGATCGGTTCTTTGCTGGTTTTGGCCTTGTCATGAGGTTTTATTGATAAGAAAAATACGCAATATCACCATGTTCCATTAAAACACCAAAATGAAATGAAAACAGAGTAAGAGGAGAACAGTTAAAGAGCAACTGCAGCTTTTGGACACAGGAAACCTGCTGAGACAGAAACAGTATCTCTTGTAGCTAAAATTATAATTTGTTTTCTAAAATGTCGATTAAATTTGAACTCTGCTTTGCTGGCTGGATTACAGGAAGACAAAAACTTCAGTGCACCAGTGTACAACTGTGTGGCGGTGCCTGCAGTGATCAGTGTGTAAATATGCAGCTGGAAAGTACTGGAAGCTCCTTACTGTTAAATACAATGTTGAAGTATCTGCACTTTAAATTGAGTATTTTTTTATTTTCTGCTTCTTCATGCTTTGACTTCACAAGTTTGACTTGACTTCAAATGTTTCACTTTTTACTCCACTACATTTATTTGTTACCTTTTAGTTACTAGTTACTTTTTAGAATCGGGTCAATAAAACAAAATACAGTATAATCATAAGGCTACCCAGCCGTAATTTATATCATAGAGTAGTTAAAATTAGCTTCACTTTCACCACAACACAACTCCACCAAGAATCATAATAATATAGCCAAATAAACCTCAATGTGAAATGTGCCATTCTGCATAGTGAGTGCTTTTACTTTGGGCGGCCTGTGCTTTAAGGAGGGTGTGAGGGAGGGTGATGGAGGGTGAGAGGGGGTGACGCTGACCGCGAGGCAGCATCCTCCGCGCTCGAGGACTCTGTCTCTACATCTATAACGACTAATTCCCCCGTTTCTCCCGTGATTTCCGCTCCCTCCTCCTTTGTTCGCCGTGTCTGTGTCTTCCTGTCGAAGATGGCCTATCGGGGGCTCCAGAAAGGGGAAACCCTGGAGACGCTGAGGCAGGAGAGCGACACTTTGAAGAAGAAGCTGGAAGAGGAGCGGGGCAAGCTGAACGACGTGGAGTGTAAGTGTCCGGGACGCAGTAAGACAACAGGCAAGAGGAACAGGCTTTATACTAACCTGGTTATTCACTGGACAGTGGTTTACTTTAAACATGACTTCAGGTTCGACAGCTGATCACTGCCCTTCAGCACATGACGTACGAAGTGATGCTAGAGGAAAGTTTACTGAAGTACGTTCAGGTGTCTTTGTGCTGAGCCCGTTTCTGTCACTATTCAGTTATGTTTTTTAACGAGCTTTTCAAGAAATTAAATGTTGTTATATCCAAGTAAACATCCCACTTCTTTGCTTTGTGACTTACTGTGCTACTCTCTAAGTACATTATATGTTGAAGGCTTTCATTTCGTGCTCAGATGTAAGTCTAATGTAAGGATTTTGAGACAAAGGTCCTCTGAGCACAGACATGTAAAAAGGTCCCTTCCCTGACTGAAGACATATTAACAGTGACACCCAGGGTGGCCCCTGAACCCAGTCAGTGGCCCCCGCCCTCCACCCATACTCAGCTACATGTCACTTAGAAATACAGCATTTTATCCCCTTGGGGATGAGTTCATGGATATGTGCATGATGTTGAAACTGTTTTACATTCCAAAATGCTTTAGAGCTCATGCATGTTCATGTTGTCATTGTAAAGATAGTAGCCTAGTAATTTAGTATGGTTTCCTTTCTCCTAGTCCGTTTTAAATGTTGGTCTGAAACTAGATCTCTGTGTATGTACAGTACTGTATGTCTCTGTGTGTGTGTGTGGGGGGGGGGGGTTATACATCAGTGCACCAGGTTGCTGAGAAGATTGAGGTGGTGGGTGCTCTCTCCATAAAGACCAGGCGTGTGTTGAAGGGTCATGGGAACAAGGTGCTGTGTATGGACTGGTGCAAAGACAAGCGTCGTCTAGTCAGCTCTTCACAGGTATACACATCCATGCAGACATACAGTGATGCTGTGGGTTAAGAGAGAGATGAATGAAATGAAATGACAATGTTTCTTTAAAGGGTTATAGTACATGGGCTGTATTAAATGTCTGTATAATAATGAGTTTCTTTCTCTAATCCAGGATGGAAAAGTGATTGTCTGGGATGGATTCACCCTTAATAAGGTGAGTAAAGGTCTGACTGGTGCTTTTGTCGGTGTGTAACAGAATGTGGAAATTCCCCTCAGTAATAAATGAGAAATAATTAAGGGGCTACTTAAGCTTTAGAATCCTTTGAAGAAAATAATTGCAACAATGATTCTTTGGAACATGAATTAAAGGCCCCGAATCACTAAATATAGACAGTCACACAAAACTGTCTGTTGAAAAAAAAGTGGAGTGTTTCCTCCTTTTTTCTTTTGAATACTCAGATCCTCAATTCTCACCATATGCTGAGTGAGGGGATTATCTTATGCTCCTGTGCTCCTCTCAGAGAGCGGCTGCGATGTGATCACATGGAAATAACAGCTTATCTGTCCATCTGTCTCCTATAATAACTGAGTGTGCGTGAACCAGAGTGCGCTTAAATGGTGGCTAAGATTCAGCCGAGTTTACCCATCATGCCTCTTAATAGAGCAGAATAATCCACACTGAACATACACAGCAGCTGTGTATCACTGTTCTGATGCTTTTATTCTTACCAATATTCAATTACCACAAACATTACATTCAAGTTTTATCTTTCACTCATTCGTTTGTGTGTGTGTGTGTGTGTGTGTGTGTGTGTTTGTCCACGTGCGCTACAGGAGAATGGGGTGAGCCTGCCATGTACCTGGGTTATGGCGTGTGCTTATGCTCCTTCAGGTTGTGCTGTAGCATTGGGTGAGTACGGACAATTTTTTTTTTTGTGATGAAAACTCACAAACTTTGCTTTTAAGTGAGATAATATATTTGTAAAAGTTTTCCTAGAAAGCTCTTCCTGTTATGAAAGAACCGAGACAGTCTATTATATGACTCTGCATCACAACAATCTTTTAAATGACCTCAGTTGCTCTTTTTCAGTTACTTGCTGCTTCATAGTCATGCAGTTATATTTTATAATTGAAATTTATATTCATTTCCATCATATGATGGATAATTCAGTTGTTTGTAAGTGTGCACATGTATGTTTGGTGACTGCTCACTGGCACGTGGAATGTGTTTTATTTAATATACTGACTGACACATAATGGATGGAACATTCATCCTCTTCATCATTTCTCTGTATGCCTGGCTTATGTAGGCTATATCAGTACCCTGAGTACTGCATAATCAATCTTGAGTGCTGACTGCAAGGTCTCCCCACTCATTGATTAACTTTTGATGGTTTTTGTGTCCTCCAAAAGTGGATTGGATAACAAGTGCTCAGTGATCCCACTGTCTCTGGACAAAAACGAGAACTTGGCTACAAAGAAGAAGTCGGTTGCAATGCACACCAACTACGTCTCAGGATGCACCTTCACCAGCTCGGACATGCAGGTGAGTGCCAGTTTAATGCTCTGTGGGGAACTGGAAATACCCTTAAGGTACAGTCTATACATGACTGTTTCGTAATCTTTTACTAAACATGAAAAGTGTTTGTTTATTTGAACTGAACAAGTGAAACAGCACGTTATTTATAAGATTTGTAGATAAATCACTGAACTTGAGTCAGAGAGTAACTTTAGGGAAGAAAAGGTGTGATGTTGTCTGGAGAGGTCTTGGCTAAGCATGGGGCCTCCATCAGATGACAACCTGCAGCTTTAAATAGAAGTTCTGTGGCCAGTGTGTCCTGCCAGTTTACTTCAAGTAGTTTAACATCTACCCACATTGCAAATTCTCTTCACTTATAGCCTGTGCAGCAGTGAGCTTCAGCTGCTAAGTCACCAACATCTTGCTAAAACAACAGAGCTTTACTCTTCAGTCAGCGTTAACAAGATTCATAATGGGAGGGGCTCATCTGAGATTTGAACCCAAGAAGTCTCACACCCAAAGTGAGAATCATACCCCTAGACCAAATACTGTACTGGATCTCTTTCTACTGGTTTTCATATTTTATTATAAAGTTGGGTGCTACATTCCATGTTTGTTTTTTGATTTTTTTGCATGAGTGTACCTCTGAGTCAGTGCCAGTCAGGCTTTTTTCTATTGGCTGTGCCTGTGACTCCCCAGCAGGTAAGAAAAGAAAGAGGTCAAATTCAAAAGCACATGAAGCAAACTGCCGGAGATATTTGGCTTTTTATTACACTCTGGTCCATAACAAGGCAGAGGAGTATAATGGCACAGGAGGTAAGAAGAGGACACGGAGGAGGAGGCGGGTGAGAGGGGACAAGATGGCTCTCTATCCTGGGTATATTAATAGACACTGAGTGGCTTTTATCTAGGAAAGACTGGCACACACATCTCCTCTCTCATAATGTAGCTCACACACAAAGACACATGCATGCACATGAGCACACTGTCGTCACACTGTCATAACCTTTATGCCATTAAAATAGACCCGGAGGCACAAAGCTCTGGACCACACTGAGGGCTCAGAAGGAGTGTTTGCTGTTCATGTCACTGCAGAAGTACATAAAAGACTCTATAATTTCAGGAAGCTTTAGAGTCTGCTAATAGGAGAGTTAGTATGATGTTGTGTGTCTAACCCAGAGCAACACAGATGCAGCTGGACAGTTTGGCATATAAAATCTGCTGTGTGCATTTTGAGTCGTGAGGTTTTGTGATTACAGACACTTTTTAATGTAGGAACCCCCTCTGCAAGCATTTAAATAACCCATGCTCATTTTGCTCATTTCCAGCCATTTAATGTTTAATCTTGGGTACCTCTAGATTAGCTTTGCACAGCTTTGTTTCCTGTTTGTGTATTTTAATCTGTATGAGGTACATCTTTTGCATGCACATGCTCTTGCAAGCATTTGTAGGGATGCATTTGTTCATTTGTAAATGGTAAATGGTCTTATACTTGTATAGCGCCTTTCTATGCTTTTAGCACACTCAAAGCACTTTCACATTATTCGGCCATTCACCCATTCGCAGTCCCAAATTCACACACCGGTGACATCACCGGGAGCAACTGGGGGTTCAGTGTCTTGCTCAAGGACATGTCGACATGTTGACTGGACAAGCCGGGAATCGAACCGCTAATCCTCCGGTTAGGAAACGACCCACTCTACCTCCTGAGCCACAGCCGCCCCCATTTGTGATATGTATGTGTTTGTTAGATCCTGACCTCCAGTGGGGACGGCTCCTGTGCCTTGTGGGATGTGGAAAGCGGGCAGCTGCTACAGAGTTTCCATGGTCACACGGCTGATGTCTTGTCCCTGGACCTCAGTCCATCTGAGACTGGAAACACTTTTGTCTCTGGGGTGAGAACGACAGAGACAGTGTCTGTCATGTACCTACAGTATGTTCATGACACACTGACCACAACAGTATGCCCTGTCTTATATATTTGTGTGTGTGAATGTTATTAGGGATGTGATAAGAAGTCCTGTGTTTGGGACATGCGCTCCGGGCAGAACATTCAGACTTTTGAGAACCATGAGTCTGACATCAACTGTGTGAAGTGAGTTGGAGTTCTCTCATAACAACACTGCATTTTGCTAATTCCTCTTTAAACCAAAAAGACTGGAGAATTTTTTTGACAGAGACGACACAGTAAAAACAGCAGTTGCATCGAGGGGAAGAGCAGAAGTGGTAATGACATTGGTCTGTCCGTTTCTGCTGTTAGCTTGATCTAAAATAGCTTAAAGATTTCAGTTTGTCTAGGTTTGTGAAAAATGTTGAGATTGCAGTTTGTCACAAACTGAGTTATTTTGTAACAAAGTACTAAAAATTGTAAGCAACATTAAGTAAATTTGTTGTGATGAATTTCTTAGTTTAAAACTGAAAACAAGTTCACAGGTGAGCCTTTTATGGATGATTGTGTGTTGAGTGTGCGAAATACATGTAAAAGTATGTAAACGTGTTGCGGAGATGCTGAGTAGTAGAAGAGGGAGCATAATAGCCCTGGTTTATTTCTTATTTATTTATTGTGTGTACATTTGTTCATCTGCTGTATCAGAGAAAGACCAATTTTCAGCCCCGAGATGCAGTTCATGCAGCAGAGTTACTCAGTTATTCAAATTGATAAACTTAGCAGCAAAATCGACCCAGCACAATACCTAATTCCACCCTGGGTTGTGTGTGTTCAGGTACTACCCCAGTGGAGATGCATTTGCTTCTGCTTCTGATGATGCGACCGTGAGTTATGTCATATGACCTGTCATATATGTCAATATGTCCTGTGCCAGACTGTTAAACTGTGTTGAAAACATAACATTGATTTACTAGGCTTACAATGACTCATTTTTGTAACATATTTATATTATCGTGGTGACATCAGTGATCTCAGTAATTTATTTGTATTTTACCCAAAGGCTTACCTACACTGACAGACTACCTCTAACTTAATGACACCTAATAATACAAGATAACATAAACCACATGTTCCTCACAGAAGACATTCTCTCCCATTAGCTGCAGTCATGGCCAGAGATATTGGCACCCCTGCCTTTCTGTCAGATAACCCACCATTTCTCCCAGAAAACTGTCTGATTGCAACAAGTGAGTCTCATTACAAACTAAAGGAGCATCCCATGCTTGCAATACAGCTGTTTCTGATGATTTTGAAAAGGTGTCAATAATTCTGTCCAGTCCATTTTTGGATTTCTGTGTGGAATGGATCAGATTTGGCTTTATTCTCTGCCTCTTAGTTTTGTTCCAGTGCAAACAAAAGGAATAAACGGTGCATTATCTAACAGAAAGGCAGGCGTGCCGATATTTTTGGCCACAACTATATGTGTGAACAGTGTTTTCAATTGTATCAAGCTCAAAATTAAGCTCTATATTATTAATGCAATATAAAAGAGCCTCCCGTAGGCCATTCACTGGCTACAATTACTATTGTCAAATGATCAGTGTCCCATTTGTTGGCGTTTCTCAGTGTCGCCTCTATGATCTGCGAGCGGACCGTGAAGTAGCCATCTACCAGAAGGACAGCATCATATTTGGTGCTTCTTCTGTGGACTTCTCTCTCAGTGGTAAGGAGTATGTCAAACCTTTTAACTAGAATGACTATCTGCTCAATTAATGTCGAAGTGACGATAGTCTGTATACTTCTGGTTTTTCTAGATAATATTTGTCAACTGAAAAAGTTAATTGCAGAAAATGTTATAGTGGTAAATATGAGCTTATTTTCAGTGTTCCAAGGAAACCGCTGATCAATATCTTAAAAGCTGAACCAGGTTTTTTGTCCGTTCTCTGCTTCCCCTCTTTCTAAAATCCCCCTCTTCCTCTTTCTCTTCCTACTTTCTCTTGCACACATCCGTCCACCTACAGGTCGCCTGCTTTTTGCTGGGTACAATGACTACAGTATCAATGTGTGGGATGTTTTAAAGGTAACTCGTGTTTCCATCCTGTTTGGCCATGAGAACCGCATCAGCAGAGTCTGCGTGTCCCCTGATGGCACTGCACTCTGCTCGGCCTCCTGGGACCACACCTTACGGGTGAGCAGGAGTTTCCCCACGTGGCATGACTTTACCCCTTTAGCTGTTGTTCATTTTTCTCACATTTATTCTGACTGATAGCTCTAGAGTCTCCGTTTTTCACACTGTATTCACTTCTCTCATGCAGATTTGGGCCTAGTCTTTTGACACTTGTGGTCCAGCAAAGACGGCACCAGTGTTACGAGACTGACAAAAGTCCATAAAATCAACACTGCTGCAGGAGTGTCTTCATATAAACCTTCAGTGTGACAACCACACAGAATCACAGAAAACGAAAATGTCTCCTCTGAATGATGATATACAGTATCATTGTATCATAAATGTAGAGTCAGTGTTCAGTATTCAGTCGGGGGCGACAGCGGTGCGGTGGGTAGAGCAGTCGTCTCCCAACCGGAAGACTGAAGTTACCCGTGATGGCAGCACGTATGCACGCAGCGGCCTGGGGCCCCTCGGCTCCAAACAAAATTTCATTGTACATATCACAATAAAATAAAGCTTCTTCTTCTAAACGGACAGTGTGTGCGTGTCAAGTTTGGATTCCTAACCTCTGTGATTCATAGTTTGAAGAATAAGATTGTATAAATATGTTAGAGGATTTGTTTTTATAAATACGATGAGAAATAATTCTGTAAAGACACAAATTAACCTGATGCTAATTAAGAGCTGAGGTGAATTTAAAATAAACAAATGTCAAGTATTTATATACTTTTTGTAAATGGTTTTCTCTGTTCTTGGCAGACCAGGGTTTACCCCAGAGCATGTTCTCTTTCTCTTCAACTCACTTGGTTCTGACAACCTTCGCTGGCATCCTCAAATGTAGGTGGAGCTATAAAAGAAACCAAAGCATACTGTTTCCTAAAGAAGATAAAGGTGACCTGACTTGTCTCTTCCTAAACAAAACTCAACAGGAGGTCAAGTAGATCAGCTGATTTTAACCAACTATGCCACACTGGCTACATTCAGCTGCAGTTTCAACACTTGGGTTGACCTAGATTCAATTCCACTGCATTTCTCCCTTCCACAGAACAGGAGAAATGCAACATCTCAAAAACTGTTAATTTAATTAATCAGTTCATTTATTTATTTAACAGTGGTCAAAGGTAAGCTGTCTTTACACACATCTCCACTTTATGTATCACACAAAATCACCGGGGTGCAATTGAGCCGTTTTAAATCATTATTATAGCAAAACCTGTCAGAAGTGTACAGGAGATTTTGTGTGTCTGCAGAACAGTTGAAATTCCTGAGTCCTTTTGTGCTTCAAGCAATCGAGTTTGTTTCCCAGCATCTCTTCATAACATCAAAACATGTCAGTTGGGGATTTATGGGATGAAAATTTATTACAACAGCCCAAATTAAAGGTTATCTTGAATTCAAAGTGGGAAACTCCCAGGGGGAAGCACCATGGTCAAGAGTGAGTGACGAAAGGCAGAATACCAGATGCATCAAACCATTAATTTGATTACAAACACATTCTTTGCATTTTCACTTCCTCACTCTGATCACTGGACCATATCTGTGACAACAGATGTGATACCACACATTGAAAGTGAGTGTGGTGGCCTGTTTGGTGATGAATGAAACCAAATGCTAAAATATGTGCTAGCTCTCAGCAAGATTAAATCAAATCAAATCAAATTTTATTTGTATAGCGCCATATCACAACAAAAGTCATCTCAGGACACTTTACAAACTAAGGTATAGACCTTACTGTTATCACTATTTTTACAAAGGGAAAACCCAACAAATCCCCCTTAGGCCAACCAAGGTGAAACCTGGCTGGTCACATGAGACCTAGAATTAGTCCCAGGGATGATTCACTTTCCTGTGAAGAAAGTTAGCCAGTGTCTTTGTTTTATATCATCTCAGGTGGTCCACAAGTTCCCTGTGAGCAGAGGTCATACTTCTGTAAAGCAGAAAGACAGTGCTACACTTCAAAAGCTGTGTGATGCTTCAGGGTTAGTGGTAAAGAGTGCTCCATCCTTAGCACTATATACCCCATCTGTGCAGTAGGGCTGCAACCAATGGATAGCATATATTCTTTTATCACTTAATTTGCAAAACAGTTTTCTGTTATTCATTTGGTTTATAAAATGTCAGTTAAAAAGTGAAAAGTAACTACTCTTCACCACCTCCCCAAAATGCAGAGATAACCCACTCACTTTGCAATCAGAAAGCTAAACATTTAGGGGATGGAAGCAAGGATTTTACTTTAAAATTTTGTTTAAAAATTACTTCACTTATCTAAATCAAACAGCTGTACTGTGCAGTCTGATTCTAGCTCTGTATTGTTTGTGTGATTGTTAGCCTACATATGAACTACAGCACTGGTGTTTATTGGTTTTGAGAACTGTATGGGTAGAGATACAGTCAATATGGAAAGACCCTCTGAAGTTTCCCACATTTTGTTATGTTTCAGATGCATCTTAAAATGAATTCAAATCAAAAATTTCCTCATCTGTCAACACATAGCACTCCATAATGTTAAAGTGAAAAGAGGCTTTTGGAGTGTTTTGCAAATGTATTAAAAATAAGACTGAAATCTCCCATTTATATAAGTATTCATATCCTTCACTTAGTGCTTGGTTAAAGCACATTTGGCTTCACGCCTTCTTGAGAATGAAACTGCAAACTTGGCCCATTTCTTTTGGAGTTTTCTTGGCAGACTCGTTCAAGAGCAGCCACTTTATTTTAAGATCGGTCTGCAACGTGACGAAATGCGGAAAACTTAAACGGACCTGTTCTAAGTTACACGCTGAAACACAAGAAGTCTGCATTAATAATAATACTTTATAATCCGCAATGCTTTCATTTTACTTTATCTAATTACAGCGAATGTTTATCTTGCAGTCACTTTGCGTTTTCCTGTAGTCCAGGTAATAATTTTCCCTTTGAACAATGAGCTCATAGTTTATCGCTTTCCAGACGCGGGCCCATGGGGCAACCCCCACCCGCTTCCGGGTACAGATATAGACACCACCTGGAGGCGGAGTCACATGATAAATGTGTAGCCAGCTGAACGGAATCGTTTCCGAGGTTCTTCTTCCGCTGTCCGTATGTGCAGAGAGCACCTTGATATCGCTGGGAGGGTAAGCTTTTGTTCTGTTAACGCACAAAAATGTATTTTAGCTCGTTATGTATGCCTTAGTATAAAATACTAGTCATACAGAAGCGTTTGTGCAATTGTGTAAGAAGGCTTTTAAAGGGTCGAGTGGCTCCTGTAGCTGAGCTAGCTCCTCGTTTGCTGTGTGCTCCTTTGTGTCCTCCATTGCTCTGGTGACAGTTGACGGTTTAGTCAACGATATCGGAGGAAAGTAGCCGGTCAGATAAATGCAAGTTAAGCGGCGAAACCCCTTAATAAACCGATAATCCTCGTTATGTTACCCACAGACTACAATGCTGTGTATATCGGTTTCTTATGCCATGAGTATAACGTGATTTGTCTTGTAAAACCGATCGCTAACAGCCATGTCTTACCTTTTAATAATGATATTGCTATTAGTTGCCTCGCGTATTTATCCTTACATAACGTCATCTTGTCAGGTTCATTTTGACACCTGATGGAAAATCCTACAGCTATCAATACACGAACCAGTCTTCTCATTACTTTTACACTTTTTTTGTTTTGCAGAATAAAAAAAAACCCTGAGATTAGCCGGCGTTTGTAAGGTTACCATTTAAAGAAAGCGGATGCTAACGATGAGCTACTAAGAGCAACGTAGCTAACAAACTACACGATTTGCTGATAGGAGGTAATGGGTGTTACATTAATAGGTTTAAAGCCGAAACTGTCGAAATTAGTCAGCTGGCAGAATTAAACAATTTTCATGGGCTAAATGTATATTTATTTGGGTCTCTTTTGTACCCAATAAATGCCCGACTTTCTGCAGTTATTAAGTCGTATTATTAAATTGAAAACGAGTTTAAACTGTTGGTTTGACAAAAGAAGAAATCTGAAGATGTCACCTTGGGCTCCATAAATCATATTCGTTTGAGGTTGATAGACCTAATAAATATTAATTGATCTCAAAAGTAATTGTTGGTGTCAGCCCTAAATTGGCTGCTCTGTTTCTGGCACATTGACAGACGAGCCTATGTGGTGTTCTTCACAGCAGTATAGTGACTCGATCCTCACAGGTCAAGTAGTCTCATTTTGTTAAATGAATTGTTCCCTCGTAGAAAATGTCGTGTGGGCTGTGGAAAGACACCCTGGCTCTGGCAGAGGACTACCTGTCTCTGTGCTGCACAAGCTCACGGCCAGCCCCTCCACCTCCCAGCGAGTCAGCCGCTGCCATGAGATGTCTGGCCCAGGACATGGAGACGCAGCACCAGGCTCGCTTCCACTCCCTCGCGCAGACCTTCCTGAAGCAGTGTGGGCCGGACCCCTGCTCCAGTCTCAGGAAGGTGATGGAAGAGCTGGTGGGAGATGGACACTTGAACTGGGGGAGGGTTGTTTCCCTATTCGCCTTCACCGGGGTGCTGGCTAGACAGCTGACGGAGCAGAATGGCATGAAGCCCGGGCTGGACCCTGGGCAGGGGCAGGAACTGGGACAGGGGCCCGGAAACTGCAGGGAACTAGCAGAGACCATAGCTGATTACCTGGGAGAGGAGAAGAAAGACTGGCTGCTGGAAAACGATGGATGGGTAGGTTGTATCAGCATATCTACTCTAAAGCTGACTGAGTCGACACAAACGCTGTAGATAAGGGAGGAGTTTTGATCATATCTTGGGCAGTAAGGCTGTTAAAAATGGAACTGTGAAAAACTTCCAGTAAGACCTAAAAGTGAAAATGATGTCTCGGTTTTTAATGCTGGAAACCACCTGGTTTGATAGGATTGTGTTTGCTTCCTGCTTGGGTGTAGATTCAGATCTCTGCGTAGAACACGGCTTAAAATATGACCTGGGCTTTGTTTGGATGCAGCCATTTTTACATTCCTGTTTGCCAACAAGGCAAATGTTCCGATGTCTCATGTGGCTGCTGTGATTATAGGAGTTGTAGAGTAGCAATAAGCCAGACTCGGAGGAATATGTGCTACAAGATGCACTGCAGCAGTGTGTATTCAGGGCCATGATCAATTGTGATGGTTAGACAAAGTATATGTTGTGAGGCAGTACTGAACTGTAGACTTGTTAAGCAACTGCATATCAAATGGACTCTGGCTCATTTTAAACCTGCTCGGTGTGAGGTATTTACTGGAAAAACAAAGGGATAGTTACGGTGGCCTCTGTGCCGACTAAGCCCCAGCAGCCTCACCAAAACCGAACACACAAACGGTTAAATGTTTGCTTTTGTGAACAGGCTTCCCCTGACCCCTCCCAAACATACTTGCGCACGCTCCTCCAGCTGGCAGCTGGTTTCAACAGGCAGATAACCCGCTCAGCCAGATGGACTTTGTAGTAACAGACAGGGCTTCAGTGTGTTGAATTTTATATCAGCCAAGCTGAAAGTTAGCGTGTTGTGACTAGAAAAACAAGCAGCTGTCGAGCCATGAGGACATCTGGGGCTGAGAGCAGGTGCACTCACTGGATGAACGTGCAGCTTCAGTCTGAAAACCTGATGGATAAAATACAGCTACTGAACAGTTTGACTCTCCAGTTTTGTGGTCATGCAAATTTGAGTAATTTCATCTGCAGTTTCTGGTAATATTTATGAAAACTGGCATGATGTCTCTTTATAAAGTGGTTGGCACTTTGACAGTTTTCTTAACTTGGTGTTAGTGTTTTAAAATTTATGGATGACAGCAGCACCCTTTAAAGTGTAAATATTTTCCAGGAGTAACTCAGGGCTGTCAGCAACTGTGGCACGTTTTCCAAAATATATTGTATAATTGCCAGCGGTTGGAAGCCAATACTTGCTTTTTATTGTCTAAAACTGACAGTATATGGGGGAAAACTGAAAGTAGCAGATGAATATTCTCCCTTGGTAGTAAACCAAGTTTCATGCCCTCATCTTGACCAGTTTTGTCCTTCTCCTGCAGGAGGGGTTCTGTAAGTTCTCCCGCAGCGCCAGAGAGGTGAGCCATGACTCGTCCGTGAAGACGGCGCTGTTCGCTGCTGCTGGCGTGGGCCTCGCTGGACTCACCTTCCTCCTGGTGCGCTAGCCCAGCCTTCTGTATCTTTAACTTGTTCTCATTTAATTTGGCATAGCTATGTAAACATTTGAATTTTGACATTAATGCTGAAAACCGGGCTCAGTCTGTAGTGAATTCATGGGTCTGACTTCAAGTTGTCAGCTGAGTATTTGCACATAGTTGGACCCTTCCACCACATACACACACACACACACACACACAGACCTTTTGTCATTGACTCCTTAAGATTGTAAAATTGATCCCAATGCCTTTGAGTTTTGGACTAGGTGGCATCAGTTTGCATATCTTGGATTAATAATTACTAAAGCACAATCACCTTGCTTTTGAGCATTTTGCATCGTCAGCCTTGTAGCTAGAAAACCCCCAATTTTAATTTTACCCCAGATTTTGGTTATGATTTTAAAATTGTCAGCTGCCTTTCTATTCACGTGTTTACCTGAGTTGTGTATGTGGTATAGAGCCTTTCTAGTGTACAATGTATAAATTAATATATTATATTTATATGAAATGAAACGGCAGTAGCCCTTTTCCCAGCAATCCATGGCTATTCAAATTGTTTCATTAAGTCTGTCCTACATTGATGTGAAATGTCTGACTTATGTGCTCAGCGGTGCCGTCATATGCAGTGCTGATAACCACACAAAGGTGCTATAAAATGTTTTAAGAAAATATCTCATCAACCTAGTAAACTGGTGACCAAACGACTTAAACATATTCGTATGAATTCCCTCCAAAGATGTCTTAAACATTATATTTTTACATTGTTTTTCCCTATTTATTTGTCACTGTTTTTGTAATAAATGAAGAAAAAAAAAAAACATGGTGTGATTCTTACGATTGAGTGCAGCAAAGCCCATTTTGTTTTCAGCACAGTGATGTCACCTTTACAATTTCTTGGTTTCCCCTAAAAGTCTGTAGCTGTTCAGACTTGATGTCGAGCTCTGATCAGAGAGCTCAGGTACAGCGGAGACCATGTTCACAACACGCAAGGCTAAAAGCTGCTGCATCCTAACTTAAAAAAACAAAACAAAAAGGACTATCGGTTTAAAAGCGGAAAAAAGCTTAGGCTGTCAAATCATGTCCTCTTTGCTTGCTCTGTTTACACAACAATCGGCACACTATCTACAGAAACGCACCCTTCATCCTCAATGCACACATGCACACACCCTGTCACACGACCTCAGTGGATGATTCTGTAGTTTACAGTAAGACCCTCAGGTTTATACAGACATGACCATCAGTTCAAAAGCTCCACCCGACCTGTCAAACTGTACTTGTAACAAATGGATTAAGCTATATACAAATTAAAACAGTAAGGCTATTTTAAAACAAAAATTTAGAATTTTGCTCTGCTGGATTAGTTGTAAGTTAACCTAACAACTCGTGCTTTGGCTGCTAGCTGCCATGTATGGGGAAAACACTCGAACATTAACACTTACAAACTGTGAAAATGCACCAGAGAAAAGTCTTGAGGGTAAAATAACTAAAGATTTTATAAAAAAAAAAAAACTTTCACTG